GTGAACTACCATTTCCAGTACAATACTGGATAAACAATGAAGACCTGTTGATGTTTGATAATTCTGTCCTTGTGTGCGTAAGTTCATCACATGCACTAATTGTTGCTGCTCTGCATACATTAGCTCGGAAGCTAGGAGAGTCACGTGACCGAAAAACCAGAATAATTCACTAATGTTTTGAGAGCGAGCAGCACCTTCAAAATCAGAGGTGTTTCAGCCGGCATTTAAACATACCACTCTACAGAGGAGGGTTTTGAGGGAATAATGCTTTTTTGTCTCATTTATGGGTACATGTAGCTGCATGCCTATCAGCTTCCAACGAAACTATGCAATATGTGAGAAAAAACAATGGTTTTTGTTTGTGGTGTAAATGCCCGTTATTCCAAGGCATATTGTTTGTCATATATTGATAGTTGATTGTTAACTTGCTGTCTATTGCACAATGTTATTACACATCCTCTAGAGAATACATGTAGTATTACACCAAACTAGCTGTAGATGTTATTTCTGGAAGTCTGGTCAATGGTGGTGTTAGATCGAGGGATCGCAAGGGGTTTTCCCCTGGACTCACTGTGATTCTTGGCTCTCATCCCACCTCCTGGGAACATGCAATGTCAGACCATGGACCCTGCCAGGGTCACACCATTTCCTACCGTAACTAGTCTTTCAAAACAGACTCCATTTATGGTTGCATATTTTAAAAACAAGTGACATTCAAAGACATCTACATGTAGACGACATGTTCATCACATATCAGTCCAACAATAACCTACATGTACAAGTACATCTGCCATGAGTAAACCTATACTTTTTTGGTAAACATGTGCTGTACATGAAAGCTACATAAACACTTCCGGATCTATATTTGTAGGCCTTATCATTGAGATACAAGTCCAAAATCTACTGGAGTCCGATGAAAACAAACACTCATCGATAATTTTTTTTTTTTTTCGTTTTATTTTTTTCTTGTCTGAAAGCTGACCTTGAAGACCACATGATTGCATTTCAGGAGAAACCAATACATTATGAATCAGTTATCATGTAATACATGGGTTGCTAGGGGATCAAAGCAAAAATAAACTAACTGAAAAGCACAACTCTACAAGAATTGTATATTTTATGCATGACAGCTAGCTACCGGGTACAAGGATTGCTAAGTTCCATGTGCAGTTTCATTTCCTTATCATTCTCAGCCCATTATTCAGCTTTACATACATCACGGACCTACAGTACAACATGGATAGTCTTGATCAGTATTGCAACACACTGTACATAATCTTCATGCATACATACAAGTTTGTGTGATTCTCAGCCATTTATTTTTCCGAGGTCATTCCATGAAACCAACAGCCTACAAAGGCCACAAGAACGACTTTGACAAAAGGTTCACTAGACCAATTAAAGCCAAAAATAACAACTGCCGAAGAAATATATCAGAAAATACATGTATGTTCCCCGAAGTCATCCCAGATTCCCAGTAAACCAAAAGCCCACAATAGCCACAAAATATATAGAAAAAGTTTGTTTTTATAGCACTCAAGTAGATTGTGGACTTGTATCTCAATAATAAGGTCTACAAATATTTTTGAAGACACTTTGTTTATTTTGCTATTCCTAGCAACCCATCTATTGCATGATAAACAATTCACAATGTGCTTCTCCCTTATCCCTGTTTAATGTATTGTTGATCTTTTTATGTATTTCAATTCGGTGGCCCCTTTTTATAAGCCCTGCTTTATCCAGGGTCACCAAACCATCATTGTGTTGTTCTGCTAAATTTTTGATGTAACTTATTTTGATTGTACAGTATACATATATTTTAATGGTTGAATACGTATATGAATTTAACTGAATGACGTTTTTGATTAATACTGATAAGTCCTGAAATATAGGGAAAAGGAATTTTGAAAAAATTCTATGAGAACAGCATCCCATTCCATGGCCCATGAGACAGACAAAACAAAAAAGTGTATGACGGAAGTTAGAAATATGTTGGACTCTTGAACTCTCTGGAAAGTTGTCAAAATACCTACAAAACCAACATTTTCGGTCTCATGAGCCATCGGTCTCGTAGACTGTAAGTCTCAAGGGGTTTGAGGCTCATTTCCCATCTACTCCAAAAAACACTTGATTACGCCAAGAAGTCAGTCAATTCCCAAAGGGGTCTGCACATGCAGACTACAATATAATGTACACTAAATATACTGTAGTCTGCAACAACAGACTCTTATTTGACACTTTACCACAATTGTAAAGCCAAGACTTGAGGCTTGAGCATGGCTTAGATAGTCAGTTCGGGCTGTGTCCAGGAGCGGTTTAAAATAACTTGCTTTTAATGGATGTAGAAAAACAAGAGAAACATAGTAAATTTTGTTTGATTAAAATGAAAGTTTATCATGTCATTAAAAATTCATAACTCTCTCATTTATAGTTATCCGATTTTGCTCAAACTTTTTTTGATTGGTTTGTCTGATTTGTCTGCTTCTATTGAAAGTAGGTTATTTTTGGAGTGGACTTGCCCTTTAAGACTACAGCGCCTTTTGTAGTCTCATACTGCAGACACTTTAATGTACAACGAATGGCAATAGTTTGTGCCTGCAAACTAAATATACTGATTGCTTTTAATACAGAATTGCACTTAAAATTTCCGCTGAGCTCTGACACAATATTCACACAATAGCCTTGGCTCGTATAAACTCACAAATGCATGCAGGGCTATTTGCATAGTGCATGTGCATCCATTAGATCTCTGTACAGCATTATTGAATGCCACTTTGAGATATGAAAGTCTCAAATTACCATCTCTGTCTCGTGTACATATTGTGTCTGTATACCAGTGTAAAAAAATGATTTTCTATTCGAGGGACCTCTTTTAGAATAAGGTGTTGTATAAGAGTGATTTACTGGCAATAATATGTAATAAAAAGAATAATAAATCGCTTCATACAATGTTTTTTAGGACTAAACAAACAAGGACATTGAAGGTCAAGTAAAGTTAACATACAGCAATAATAATACATAATTCTAATAATAATTACAGACAATTAGCAACTTAAACAAACATGCCCTAGCTATAAATAACTATTAAACAAGAGATACTTTGCTGAAACAACTCCAAGGATGAGGATTGAGGGATACTAATTAATTGGTAAACTATTCCATAATTTAGGGGCTGCAACAACAAAAGCACAATTTAAATATTTCATTTTTTTTGTAACCAGAGCTCTTTTAGTGCTACATGTATTACCAAAGCTAGTTTCTCTCAAAGCTCCTGTGTATTTTTACCGCCTCTGTCTGTCTATGTACACTACATACAGGTTTCAAAATCTTAAAAGAAAAAAATGCTTGAAACGATAGAGGTAACAAAACAATCTTGGTCACTGTTTCAAACAGTAATGGGTAATTCCCTAAATTGGTGACACAAAACCTGTTACATATAAATAATAATAATAATAATATTGGATTCTTATATAGCGCATGTATCGACCTTGCAAGGTCCTCAAGGTGCTCCAACATTACCCGGCTATGCTAGGCTGCCGATTTCGACGCCCACAGCATTTTAAGGAATTCCTTCCTGCCGGTACCCATTTAACATCTGGGTGGAGAGTGGCAAATGTAGATCAATGTCTTGCCACACGTATTTGTGGCTCTGAGTAAAGACTTAGATAGTGAAGTGAGATTGTTATTGATTCTAGGTATGATATTATGCTTGGAAATCGCTTAACAATCTAACTCCACTATCTAAGTCTTTACTCAGAGCCTCAAATATGTGTGGGTTCCTTAAGTAACAGGGACATCGAAAATGTCTCAAAGTGGGTCCCTAATTTATGGAATTACCCTAATACACTGCCCTAGACATAAAGATCTTTCATGTACCCACTGTATGTATAAGTACCGGTACTGCTACAATGTGGTATATATTTATGTGGGATTCCCCACATTAGCCACATACTGTACATGTAAGTATAGGTCTATATTAGTTTACACAGAGTACTTTGTTCGTGATGACACGTTTCCTGTACATCTGGGGAAGTGATCTTGAATAAAAAATATGAGCAACATTTGTATAAATATCATTTGTAAATTGTAAATTAAAGAACTCACCGGTACACCTATTTGGCGTAATATGTGAAACTTGGAGAAAGACCAAAACCCATAAACTCACAAACGTGATGACTTGGCAAGTTAACAATATGATCATAATGTTGTGTTAGTTCAACAAAATCATATATATTTTAAAGTATTTGTCAGATAGGCATGGGCAGGCCAGGTTCAGGATTTAGTAGGGCAAGGGGGGGGGGGGCATGATTCCGTAAAAATTGAGTCGAAAACTTGAAGGGGTGCACGGGGCAAAGGAAAAATACAGTGTACACTGTACTTTATGTATCCCAAGTTGGCTTTTCTAGACAGGGGGGGGGGGGGGGCATCTTAGGTCGGCATGCCCCCTCCTTTGACGCTGCACTTATTTTAACAGGAATTGCATATCATCCAACAGTATTTGCGATGAGTTTCCATGCACAGCAAAACAACGCAAGCTTTCCAAGCAAGTGAATGAGATTCTCTTTAAAGCCTATCTGCACTAGTTTGGCCAGGAGTGATTAGACCTCCCTGCATGGTCACTGACAGCTGGTTATCTCATCAAATCAGCTCTCAATTAACATAAGAAAAAGGGAACCATGGAGGACCAACTGTCACCGATAAGGCATTGTTTGCTATATAGAGGGCTTTCCAAGCAAGTGAATGAGATTCTCTTTAAAGCATATCTGCACTAGTTTGGCAAGGAGTGATTAGACCTCCCTGCATGGTCACTGACAGCTGGTTATCTCATCAAATCAGCTGTCAATTAACATAAGAAAAAGGGAACCATGGAGGACCAACTGTCACGGCCGATTAGGCATTGTTTGCTATAGAGGGCATAAGTATCTGTATAGTGCAGTGGGGCTTTAAACTGCACCTTGCCAATTTTCTTTTCTTTTACCAGCAATAGAATTTGCACTTACCCTTTTCTTCTGTTTGTACTTTTTGTCTTGAACTTTGGAGACATAGTCATCTAGGAGCTCTTCACAGTGAGTAAGATTGACTCTGGGTTCCCACGTAGCCGTGTCGGCACCGTAGCCTTTCCAGCGGACACGAAACCAGAGTTTTCCCTGGAAGGAAAGAACAAAATTGAGGCTTATATTAAAGAAAAATCGAGATGAATATACATGTATATGACATGGGATGAGAAATTCAATTGTGATTGGGGCAGTGAGTCTGTGGACACTGAATGACTACTACTAATATCATTAATGTTAACGTATTCTTCACATACATGTAGAGTTTAATGAACAATTATCTTTGGCTATACAGAGTTTCTCAAGAACAGAATACCGGTATATAACTTGATAATTGGGAGATGATTATTGCAAAGAAATTTATTTTCTCAGATAAATTCACAAATACCTACTCCTTCCCACCTAGTCACTACTCCCAATTTTTTATCTTATCATCCACCTCCCTTTATGTTTCCTCTCCTCCTACATGTACACCTTTCTCAATCCTCTTCTACCGTTCTCCTCATCTCCTCATTTTTCTTCCCCTCTTCCTCAGATTCTTCATCCCCTTCTCCATATTTGCCAGTCTCCCCTTCTTTACCCCTTCATCCTCCTACCCCTCCTTTCTCTCAACCACTTCTCCTACTTCACCTCCTCCATCTTTTCATCTCCTATTCCTCTTCCCTACTACAGTATTTGCCCTTCTCCAGCTCGTCCTATTTCACATCCTCCCATCTTCTTATTCTTGATCTCCTCCAAATTTATTATTTCTACTGCTCTTCAAACCCTAACCCCTCCTCCTCTCTTTCCTCCTCACCATCACCTCTTCATCATCTTGCCCCAAAAGTTCTCTTTCTCTATCTCACAGTGTACGTCCTCCCATTCTACCTCTTCCTCCTCCTCACATTGCATCTTCTTCCATTTCCTCTACTCCTCGTTATCTCCCTCATCTAACCTCCTGCTTCTTCTCCTCTTTCTATTCCCCTCCTTTTCATCATCACCTCTTCCTCAAATTTTCTATCCTCTTTCTTCTTCCAGTTTCCATCATTCTCCTACCATTCATGTATCTCCTCTCTTTCTTCTCCGATCCCCCTCCTTGATCCCCCTCGCTTCCTAATCTCATCCTTCCACTTTCCCTCTTCCTCTTCGTGTATATCTACAATCTACATATATGTACCTCATCTCTCGATCCCTTCAACTTCTCATCCCTCTGTCTGCTACTCTCCTTCATCTCATCTTTGTTCTCCTCCTCCATATCCTCTATTTCTTCCTCATTTATATCTCCACTTCTCCCCTCCTACTACTTCCCCCTCCTCTATCATTCTATGTAAATGTACAGTATGTCTATATATTCCTCTTCATGTCTCCCTCTTCGTCTCCCAATTTCCTCCTCCTAATTTACTTCCACCTCTTTCCTTCATCCCCTCCTGCCTGTCATCTCCTCCTCCTCCAATATGTAATTACAATCTACAGTACAACTACTGAACTACAACTAGTAGTATTACATATACATACATGAATAATGTTTGCGCTTGTTATGAAGAAGAACAAAAACTGGTGTAAATCAATTGTATAGTCTATAGTCTAGAAATATTGTATTATATTTATAAAATCATGACAAGATTCTTTAATATTAAATATTTTATTGAACATTTGATCTACAATTTCATGTTTTGCCAATCAACAGGTGACAAAAAAACAGTCATATTCATATCAGTCTTTTTCGTTCAGCGTAGATCTATCAACTAGGCCTACTACAGAGCTCAGTCAGAGGAGAGTGTCAATTAAGTAGTGGGGTGCCCTGGTACTCAGTCATTTCAAGTTCATGTAAAAGTTTCGATTTTGGTACCAAATTGAAGGTTAGCGTCTGTAAAACAATTTTGGTTCGAGTGTCAAGCATGTACGATAAAAAATTCAAAATGGCCGCCAAAATCCAAGATGGCTGCCAATTTCAAGGTTTTTGCACATTGCGCGTCATAACGTTTGTACTACTGAGTCTAGAATGAGGATTTTTGTTTCTACACCTATGTTTCCATGAGTGAGGAATTGCATAAAAATGAAATAAACACAATTGGAGCATATCTTTTATTCAAAATGGCCGCCAAAATCCAAGATGGCCGCCAATTTCAAGCTTTTTTATTATTCCTCTTAACTCTTGTACTATTTGAGTCTAGAATGGAGATTTTGGTCTCTATACCTATGATTGCATGTGTGAGGAATTGAATAAAAATAAAATAAACACAATTGGAACATATTTTCAATTCAAAATGGCCGCCAAAATCCAAGATGGCCGCCATTTTTTGTTTGTTTTCCCCTTCGCATTATGCCTCATAACTTTTGAACTTCTGAGCCTAGATTGGTAATTTCGGTCTCTATACCTAGGTTTACATGTGTGAGGAATGGAATAAAAATGAAATAAACATGGTTGGAGCATATCTTCAATTCAAGATGGCTGCCAATTTCAAGCTATTGCATTCCTTGTACTATTGAGTCTAGAATGTAGATTTTGGTCTCTATACCTATTTTTGCACGTATGAGGTATTGAATACAAATTTAAAAACATAATTGGAGCATATTTACTCTCATATTGCATAGACAATTGCTTTAAAAACTGTCAACAATGCATACAAAATAACAATATGGCTAACAAATTAACCAAATATACCTATTTTCGTGCTAGATGGTGTTAGATGATGATGATGATTCACAGCATTTGTATAGAGCCATTTAACTGTTTAAAAAAACATTCAAAGGCGCGAGCTCCTCCAATAAAGTTAGCATTTAAATGTCTGAAGGAAGATGTGAGTTTTGAGTGAAGCTTTGAAGTGGTCAAGGTTGTCATTTTCGCGAATAGATGATGGGAGGGAATTCCACAGGCGAGGAGCAAAAGAGGAAAAATGCTCGGTCTCCAAATCCCTTGAGATGAGTAATGGGCATCTGGAGAGTAAGGCCAGATGAGCGAAGTCCAGGGCGAAGATGACGCCGCTCGATTAAAGATGACACATATCCTGGGGTCTGACCATGAATTGCCTTAAATGTGAGCAGCAGGACCTTGAATTCAATTTTGCTCTTGACAGGAAGCCAATGTAGCTCAGCAAGAACAGGAGAGATGTGATCATGTTTCCTCAAGCCAGTATCAAAGCAAAAGTGGTGCTGCATTCTGTACTGCTTGAAGTCTGTTCAAGGTTTCAGAAGGAGGCCAGCCAGATTAGATGAAATAAGTGAATGAATAAGGCTTTCTGCTGCCTTCCTCGTAAGCAATGGTCTAATGGCTGCAATATTACGAAGCTGGAAGTAAGCAGTCTGACATACCTGTAAAATGTGCCTGTCCATTTTCATGGACTGATCGAAGTAGACCCCAAGGTTACGGGCGCTTTCCGTAGGAGAGACAAACACATTGCCAACTTGGAGGTCCATGGAGTTGACCTTGTTCCTCATGTTAGGTGAAGAAATTATGAGGTATTCAGACTTGTCATCATTGAGTTTCATGAAATTCTTTACCATCCATCGACGAATATCAGCAAGGCACTAGGTCATCCTTGTAGCTATGGCCTTTTCATCAGTTGCCACTCTTGGATCAAATGTCACATACAGCTGGGTGTCATCTGCGTAGAAGTGGACTTGTACACCATGTTGACGGGCTACGTTCCCAAGAGGGGAAGTGTACAACGTGAAGAGTATCGTCCGGGGACAGACCCCTGCGGAACGCTGTAGGTCAAGGAAGCTTCATCCGACACAGTTCCATTGATGTTCACAGCCTGTCGTCTGCAGTAAAGATATGACCTGAACCATTCCAGTGCAGTGTCATCGACCTTGAAGTCTCGTTGCAGCCTCTGGAGAAGGACTTTGTGATCAATCGTATCTAATGCGGCAGATAAGTCCAAAAGACTGCCCTCAGGATGATAGATATTTTTAGAAGAGCAGTCTCCATGCTGTGAAGCCTCTTGTACGCAGACTGCATGGTCTCATGAAGGTCATAGTCCTGTAGGTGTAATGTCAGTCTTTTGGCGTCTACTTTCTCGAGAACTTTGGCGAGGAAAGGCAGGTTAGATATGGGCCGATAACTGCTCATCTCATCACGATGTAGGGATGACTTCTTCAGTACATGAGTAACATGAGCAAGTTTCAGCTCCTCTGGAAACTTCCCTTCGTGTAGAGAAGCATTGACTATCCTTGAGATAAGCATGGCCATCAAGTCATCATTTTCCTTCACAACTGAGGTAGGAATCGGATCCAGGGAGCATGACTTAACAGGGGTCATTCAAATGACTCTATGCACCTCTAGCGGACTTGTGGGCCCGAGTGTATTCAGACGCTCACTGCCAGAGGATGTTACTTCGTTGTTTAACTCTACTCCATCACTTGAAGACATATCTGACTGCAGGTTGCATCTAATAGACTCAATCTTACCAATGAAATACCTTGAGAATTTAGAGGCTAGATCATCAGGTGAGGTATGATGTGGAAGTGCCGTAGTTGATTCAGTCTTCCGGTGCAGGAGCTTGTTGATGATGGCGTAGAGTGCCTTCTGATCATTTCCACAATCAACTATGAGTTCATTGTAGTCGGCTTTAGCATCAGCAAACAATTCCTTGACTCGATTTCTCTGCTTGTAAGTGTCGGCTTGCATGGTGATGTAGATATACAGTAGGCTTGCGGGTGCACCATGTGAGAGAGAGATAGAGAGAGGATAGAGTATAGCCCAGTTACTTCTCGCATGTGCACTTGCACTGACGTGTGCACTTTAGCTTGGTCTTCACACATTTGCACCGAGAGCAGGCATTGGAGCAAGTGCACTTCACATCCAGGTGGAAGACATCCTTGCCGTCCTCTTCCTTCCACCCATGGTTGATTAGGTTGTTGACAGGCATCATAGACATGTGGGCTGTTGCCCAGATGCTCGACTGAAAGACACTCCTCTTCAGATGTTGATACAGAGCATCTGTGGTTGGAGGAATTCTCTCCACGTCCCTGGTCTTCTGTCATTCGGACGAGGTCAACATCATTGTCCTCATCATTCAAGTACAGCCAACAGACAAAGTTTGTAGCCACTTCTTTCAACCTTGGCGATGTTTCAAATGGATTGTCAACCATACTTGAGAATTGTTCCATGAGGGACGGCACTTCGTGCATCAACATGCAGCAGGATCGCTTACCCTTGAACTTGAAGGAAGAAGTACTGTCTGATCCTGTGAATGCGTGGAAAAGGGCCATGGCCTTGCATGTTGTCGTGCCCAGGTTTGTGGCGATACTGTTCAGAGAGATCATTTTAGTTGTCGTTCCCGCTTTGAAGGAGATCCAGATTTCTGCGGCCTGATTCAGAGCCTTGATGTGATGGAAATTACTCAGAAGGATTACGACAACATCAGTGTCTCCAGTGTAAACCATCCCAAGTGAAGAGGATTGGAGAGCGTGGAGCAGATGTACTAAGACAGGCGTGTCAGCTTCCTCATGGTTGCACTGATCCATAGATGAACTGTTTCCAGCATGGAGCACTTGATCACCTGATGTGACGTAGACACTCTTGTCATCAGGGAAATTCTGTTCTATGATCTTCTTGGACAAGAATGAGAATAGTTCCTTCTTGTTGTCATCGTTTGTTAGAAACTTTTGCCAATTTCCTGGAAGTTTTGCAGAACCAGATACTCGTTGTCGGGTGCCCTTTCCACGTTTTTCTCTTGTGCCTCCTTTGATTGTCATTGCACGATACTGGTCCCAGACAAAGTCTACTCTTGTCGATCGCTTCAAGTCGTGGCAAATTCTTGGGCAGAATACCTTGTCGAAATATGAATCAAAGTTCTTGCCTTGGACAAATGTACCAGGAAGTGAGTGTATCAGTGTATCAATAACAATGAAGTCGTAAGAATCTGGTGCAACTAGTTTCTTGCTGACATGAATGGCACTACTTGCTGTGTCTTCCATGATATATGCCAACAAATCTGACTTGGTACAAGAGTTGAGAGACCCTTCGGATGATAATGCAGGAGGGTATGGGGAAGATTCATGATGAAAAAACTCCTCCAAATCCCCTCCGCGGCTGTCTAGTACAAGAAAAGCTTGCCCATAAAGCTCTGCATGACGTTTGAAGTGCTGCATTTTAAGCTTAATTGCTGACTTCTTTTGTGTTTTCTTCTCATGGAACAACAGTAAGTTGTTTCGTTTAATTGGTGCTGTCAGAGGTGTGTCATTTGAGGTAAGCACATGCTCTCTGAAGTTGTTGTACTGATCTTGTCCAATAGACTCGACTTCATGGACAGATTCTGCAGCAGCTGGAGACTCACACACCTTGTCGTCTAATGTAACCAGGACTCCACTGTGCTCCTCAAAAGGATTTCCATTGCTCAGCAACACCTCCATCAGATCTTTGGTATGGTGTATAAATCGATGCTGAGATGCATATCCTTCCTCATGGTGAGGTAGCTCTTCAACATCATCGTGATTGTTCCCACCAGTGAACTCCTCAATGACACGGCTGATTTCTGGGCCAGTCATGATTCAGCGTTCCAGCATATCGGGGTTCTCTGTGAGACCAATAATGCCACCAACTTCTTTCACCCTTTTGTTGGCTTGCTCGTGTGCTTGATCGATTGGTAAGGATGAGAACCGGCGATTGCTTCGAGTTATTGTCCAATGTCCCTTCTCAAACTCTTCCTTTATGCTGTCTGGTAGACCTTCCAGGTCTCGGATAAAGATTGGTATCCACCTGGCATAATTCTGTTGATCTAGAGCAAAGAACAGAGGCACAAGCTTTCTCAGGGTAGTAACCATGAGTTCCAACTTTCGCTCCCGATGTGCCCGGATGAACATGAATATGATCTGTTGGTACTTGTGTACGAGTAGCCAGAATTTTAATTTTGGACTTTCTTTGGAAGCTTCCATGACCCAATCCTCAAGAGTCCTCTTGGTCTTCGTAGGCCTGCTTCAGAAGGCTGTCAAGCACCACAATAGTAACTTGATGTGCATATCTTGTTCTCATTACATTGGATGCTTTTAGAAAAGCTGTGGCTGCTGCTTCTGTCTTAACTAGCCCAGCTTTTGTCAGGGTTTCAGGCCATCCAGACCCACGCAGAAGATCTCCCATGGTGCTCCATAAAGCCATCTCAATGTGGAGCCCACCTAGCATAACCACAAACTTGTCCTCCCCAAAAATGTCAGGATAGGTCCACTGCGTTTTCTTTGCAAGATCATAGAGTGGTTGGTCCACTACCAACACAGGGATTTGGTGGGTTGAGGTGCTCAGTTGTCCCTTTCACCAGTTTCATTCCATGTCGAATCATTCCTGAAGTGGCGGCCTTTTCATGGAAAAGTGGCAGGAGGGCTTCAATGTTTTTTTCCGGTTGTCCAACAGTATCTGATCGAGCTGCATGGTAGGAAGACCACATCGCTGGAGTGTGTATTTCTGTATCACAATCCGCATATAAGATTTCATTAACTGCCGCCATCCATGCCTGTTCGTGCTGTTTCTCCTCATCAAAAGAACTCGTTGCCACTGGTTGCACATCTTTCACAGGAGGCTGGGTGACAAAATTTCGGCCCACAGGTGGTACAAACGTGTACGAACGAGGCAGGGTGGGTTCACTGCTGCATGCACCTGTTTTCTGTGAGTTGATCCATAGACATTCGTGTTCCAACCCAGGCTTTTGTGATGAAGGAAACTGAAATATTGAGATACCAGTTCCATGGAAGGATGAGCTTGCAGTGCGTGATGTAAGATTATGATCAAGGTTATCCAGGGCTGAAACTGTGAAAATGTTCCGATGCAAGTTTGTAGGACAGACTATACCAGCGTTGTTCCTTGTCTGATCTGCAATAGCCTGTATTTCTACTTATAATTAATAAAAGTATGTATTCTTTTCTTACCACTCGTTACCAAATGATTTGAGAAACAAATCTAAAGAACCAGTTTCAGCAGGATTTGCAGAATTTGCTGTCTCATGTAGATATGGAAATAGTGATACTTTCTCACTATTGTCACGTGAGGGCGCCAGACTAGTTTTATTTCTGCTTATTGCAGTTCTAAGACCTTCTAGTTTGGGGAATGATAACAAAGAGCTATTGATCCCATATTCTTCTGACATGCTAAAAATGTATCTTGGAACAATTCTGAAAGGTTTCATGGTAATTCCCTTATTCATTCCATATTTATAAGGCAATATGTTCCTTTATAATTTTCACTTTTTGATTATTTATTTTTTTAAACATGAAATTTATGCAAATTTATGCAAATTAAGCAAAATATATTAATCATATAAATTTCTAATTGTGTCTATTGATCTCACTGGACTTGAAAACATCACTTTCAACACTTAAATGACTTCAAATGGAGAGTTTAATCCAACTTTGTGAGGATTGTCTAGAAGTTGGCAGCCATTTTGGATTTTGGCGGCCATTTTGAATATTTTTTACTTATGTGCTTGACACTCGAACCAAAATTGATTTATAGATCATTACCTTTAAAGTGGTACCAAAGTTTAAGCTTTTACATCAACTTGAAATGAAAACCCAAATTAACACATGCAAGGCCCCCCACTAAAGAGACAAAATATGTTTTTAATCCTCCAAGCAGATGAATTTTACTGTCTAGGTCAGTCAAAATAAAGTAACACTAACAGTAAAACACCTTACAAACTTCTAGGTGTACTAAAACTAAAAGTACTAACATTATTCACGTGCGCATATGATCAAGTTCAACCTGACCTCCTGAGCTGACCTGACCGAGCTAGCTAGCGCTAGCTGACAACAGAAAACAAAAACCACCCTGACTAGTGACTACTACACCTGTAGTGTGGGCCGGGGACTTACCTTCACCAAACGCATTCCAGTAATCTTCTCCACCTCGTAATCATCACAGTTTTCATTATGGCTAGTTTCCTTCCAGGTTACCACTTCCACCTGCGAGTCTAACCCTTCCGAATCCAGCTCCATTTTGTAATTTTTCCAGCTGCCTTCCAATTCCACTCAGCTCTCTATCTACCGCGCATATTTAGTTGCTCTTTGATATCTATATATATCTACGTTAATGTTAGTAAATAGTCGACGAGCGCGAGCGAACATATCGCATGCAAGCTGTATATTTTGTAGCGTACACACACCAGTATCTCTTTGGTGGTACACACCCACTTAGTAGTGTTAGCCAGAGAATAATCCAAAGTGAAGGTCGTGTGTGTTATCTTTTAATACACGCGCCCCATACACTATTTCTTTCAATCCGTGTCACCTCTCTCCACTCGAACGTAAGAAAATCAAAGCCCCGAGAGGGCAACTAAAAAAGCTATTGTATTGAAGTAGACTAGCTAGTTGTTCGATATGTTTTCCTATATATTTTTTCCTATATAAAGTTTCGCGACGATGTAAATCAGTGCATTAAGTTTGGGCACTGTACCACATCAAATTGGGCACCACCCTAGTCATAAAACCCAGTTCAATAGTTGCAGTCTGAGCATAAGCAGATAAAGGGGTTTAGTATAGTAATAATGAGCATAATTATCTCTATACTACACTTTTCTTTTTCTTTTTGCCTCCGGAAATGTGAAAATCGCGCCGACCGATATTTCGCTCATTGGGTGTACTGTAAGCACACATTTTTTGTTTTGGCTCAACGGGGGGTGTTAGGGGGGGGGGGGGGGTGAACAATCCCATTGTTTCTCAACACTCACCCCCCCCCCTAAATAAATTTTTAAAAAGGTTTAATTTTTTAAACCTTTTTTTAAAACTTTTTTTTTTGTTGCCAGAGAGGGAGGGGGGGGGGGGGCGAGCCCGTCGCCCCTCTCCCCCTTGATCCGCGCCTGGTTAAATACGCAGTACATAATGTCATCGAATTAATTATTCTGAATGAATATTACAGATCAAAGTCTTCCCCTCCCCCCAAAAATAACGAGTCGATAATGTTGATGATCTATTCAGACTCGGAATAAAGTTCCTGACGATGTCGAAGAAACGGGAGTCGACAATATAAATATACAAAAGTCGATGGTTGACGATGATCAGATTCGCAGTCGGAGTAAAGTGCGACGATGATCCGACCTCTGAAATGGACCCTAATGGCGTAAAGCACCTTTTCTGAAATGCCCCGTTTTTTATGAAAACGTCGAAACTTGTGAACCTGTAAAGGGACCCTTTTTCGGTTTTGTGCTTAAAGTTAAAACACACCTCTTTTTAAGGAAAACATCGACGACGCCGTATAGCTGAAAAGACACCCTTTCGACGCCTTTTCTGGACACGGGTGCGTATTAGCATGAATTAGGTTCATGGTATTAGCCAGTCATGTTGGGAGTGACCCCCCCCCCCCCCCCGGATCAGACTCAGAGTAAAGTTCGGCGATGGTAAAGTTTCTAACTATGTCGTAGAAACGAAAATCGACGATGACTATGACGGCGAAGAAGGTAACGGTTTCTGATTATCCTAGAAAAAAGAACGAAAAACAAAAATCGACGATGGCTGTCTCGAGTACAGTTCTGACCTCCAAACTGACGAAGAAACTGGAGTCGACGAAGTAAATAGGCCTAATACAATTAAAAAACTGGAGACAAGTAGAGTTCGAGAAGACTGCATAAAGAAAGAAAGAAAATGTCAACCTAACAATTCGATTTAAAATCGAATTATTGCCGAAACAACACAATATAAAAGAAATATTACTCGCTGCTGGATGGTGCCAAATCGAGAAGGCAGGACCAAATTAGCGAAAGGCCTTCCTGCACTGGGATCTCGAAGCGACTGATTAATAAATCGCGGGACATGAATAAAAAAAGAAAGTCGGCTCTGGCCGTGCGCACCGGGCTTTCTAAACAAAACTTTAAACCAACCGCGTTGCCGACAAATTTGACCAATCACCAAGCTTTTCGTACACGCCTGATGATTGGTAATCTCATGTACAATATACATAATCCTAAATTTAAGCCCAATGACAAACTCTTATAAAATACAAACTTCATTATAATCAATCTATGTAGGCCTATACCTAAAAGATTGCATTATATCTCAATCTTTTGAAACGTTAAAACGCATTTCCGTCTGACACAAATAATATTTTGTACACTAATTGCATGGATGGACGACGCTACTATTTATCAATTTATTTATTAAAATGTATTTATTATCTAAATCGACAAACTGTACTAGTATTCTAAACGCTACAAGTTACAATACTCGGATACAAATACTTGTTGATATGTCGGGCAAGCCTCAGACAAGCTTTCAGGTCGTCAAACAGAGCCTCTGTAATACAATAATGCATCAAATTTGAATATTTTAGAAAGCCGGTCTAACTCTATTCGCTTAACCTCAAAATGCAATCATGTGACAAAACAATGATAAGAATCAGTTTATATCAATGTTTCATAGCGGGTCACGATGCACATAACGTGAATCCCGGACTAGCCGGGTAAAACCTTTTATTTTCTCTAATGTTCTCGCTCGTGATTTTGTTAATTCTTTTGATTTTGATCATGCCATACTTTAAAAATTAGTCAGCATTTTTTTGTTAACAACAAATCTTCTTTTCGCATTCTTCTTCCCCCCTCCTCCTACTTTATCATCATCATCTGTTTCTTCTTCTATTCTTTTTCCTTTACTACTATAGTACTACTTCTTCCTCTTCTCCTCTCTTTTCGTATATGATGTTTTAATTTTGCCCAAATAGTTGTACTCTTCTCCTAGCTCATGTGCCTCCTATAGCTATTCTTAACCCTCTCCATGCCGTTTAAAGCTGATATGATATATATATATATATATATATAATTATATGTTTTTAAGTATATATGTATATGCCTACTGTATAGGCAGGTTATCTGAGAAATCTTTTGTTTGGGCTGGCTCATTATATTAGTAGTGAGGGCGCTATTGCGGGAATGAACACCGCGTCTTGTGCATTGAGAAACAATCATTGGCAAATTTCGGCACCTCATTTGAAATTTATTATGAGAGGAACAAACAAATTATAAAACAAATCAGAAAAGGTATTGATATTGACTATAATATGAACAATAAAATCAACTTTATTCTTATATATTTTTATCGAATATTTTAAGAGTTCTGAATCATGAAAAGTAATACTATTATGACAATAATATATGCAATATATTAGTAATTTTGTTTACGTGAATATTTATATGTGGTTTTGTTTATGTGAAAGTTTATTTGTAATTTGGAATAAACACAAATGTAAATCTTATTTGCAAATTAGCTTATGAGAGGGAGGAATAAAAGAACTTTTGAAAAAACTAAAATGATCTCTCCATAAGCAAAAATAATCTAGACAGCTTCACTAATGGCCGGGAGCGTTGGTAAAAATAGGGATTCTTGATAACTTTATTCCAGTAAATGAATACTTTTTCTCTATCTGGTCTAATCTATCGAAATCCCGGGCCGAAATACGATATAGCCTATACTGAACAAAGGGATCATGTTATGTCCTTACCCCCTCTACTCCTTGATCCACAATTCTTTCATCTCTCTTCTTTTTTTTTTTTTTTTTTTTAACTTCATTTGTCTTTTTTTTTGGGGGGGGGGGGGGGGAGGGGGGGGGGGCGATGTTTCAACTTTTGCAAGTTTCAATAGCTCCTACAAATTGTTAAGTATTATGTCTATACTCTTTCAGAGTACCGTCAATTCTAAAGAAAATGCCACCTTCCTACCCCGACTGAATATCACGAGTCTCACTCATGCACTCTTTATTATGCATTTTAAATGAGGCTTACAAACAAACAAACACAAAAAACAAACAGACAAATACTGTACTTGCTCTTAAAACAGCAACTCACGACTTTTCATGTTATTATTGTCTTGAATCTTGAAAACTCATTTAATGCCAAATTATTACGCACACCGTTGTATTGTCTCCAGACAATTAATAATTTAATAATGAGGTGAAACACTAAAATGAGTACTACAGTCAAACCTGCTTTAGTGACCACCTGTCTACAAAGACCACCTGCCTACAAGGACCACATTTTTTGTTTCCCTTGAAAATGGTTTCTCATTGAAACATGTACTAAAGGAACCTGTCTACAAAGACCACCTGTCTACAAAGACCACCTTTTGTGTTTCCCTTGGGCGGTCGCTGTAGACAGGTTTGACTGTATTTCTTCTTACACCATGCCACCAACAGCATTTTCAATGCTAAAACAAACAATTATAGTCATCGTATTCACATAATATTCTTACTTGAACATGAATAAACTAAGTGATCATTACACAAAGCACTATAACTTCATTCTCGGGCTATAATATATTATGCCAGTTAAGATGAACGTGTGAGGGGTAGGGGGAGGGGGGGGGGGTGGCTAATGCAATATTTATATACCAACTTGTCTAAATGCTTATCCTACTATTATATTAATAATAATAATAATAATAATAATAATAATAATAATAATAATAATTGATTCTTATTGAGCGCGGCAGTCAAACTGATCAGAGCGCTATACAACAGAAAAGAAACATACAAATCATAACAATTAAACAAGGAACAGTAATTAAGATATTATGAACGAAAAGAAAATTTAGCTATTCAAAAATGTACATTATAGATTGTAATTATACAGTTGTAATAACACATGTTTATGTTCATAACACATTTTTCAGAATACAAGTATATACCACATATTATATAAAACTTGAAACTAATTTCATAAAACAGATAAATGTACATGTATTTATATAATGATAAAAATAATAATAACGTTTTATTTACCCAAGGTAGCCACTTCAGTTATGAAACTGCTCTTCCAGCGGGCCCTGCATAACATAATATGTTATTACTACCCTTCTCCAATCTAATATGCTGAGCGCCTAGCTAGAAGGCAGAAGGTCCCATTGTTATAAGTCTTTAGTATGACTCGGCCGGGGTTCAAACCCACGACCTCCCGTTCATAGTAGTAGTAATCATTACCATAGGACTAATACACAATATCTAAACATAATCGCTGAAATTCAGATTTCACAACCAAATTAACAGGTAATGTACAGTTATCAAATAGGAGAATGAGAATATACAACATCAATGGTGAAGTTCATTACCAAATTTACACTAATTATCTTAACGTTAATTCAAGTAATAAACAATAGGCGGTGTCACACAGAGGCCAAAATCCGGATTTTAGTTATCCTCTTAATTGCTGTCAGTCTGTCATCAATTATTATCCCATTAAAAATCCTCTAACGAGGCAAGAAAATTCTCCATCGAAAGGATTTTTCAAGGGATTTTTTAAGGGATTTTTCTGTGTGACACCGCCTAATATGGAGCTGAAAGTGAAAAATTAAATAAAAATTGAACTATTTGCAAATCATGGAATATGATAATATTCATGAAATTTGCATGATACATATAAAATCGAGATCGTACTTAATATGAATTCAAATATCATGTTCTAGTAATAGTATAATAGTACTGGATAAGGATTTCTTACGTTAACACGCAAGTTATACTGCGTAAATAAATTATTTGCATCATTAGTGAACGGCGCATTGTTTGTAAGGGCGCTGAAAATGGCGCATATTATTTTATTAATACAAGAAATCAATAATATAATGGCCTATATAGAATGGCCCATTATAAATATTATCTACAGGTGGATGGCTGCCAGAAATTTTGTGAGAAAAAATTGTTAACGACAGTGATTGCCAAAAATTTGCAATGACTGAGTGTAATCTCTAAACGTCTTCGTATAGTATACCACATAATAAAAGTTTGTATATTCTAAAATGGAATAGTTCTGGGGATTTCATCCCCCTTCGCATAAAATCCGAACAAATATAATTCAATATATTGAACTCCACAGGTGAGACCAAACATGTTTAAATCGCAAACTGTTCTATGATAACACTAGATACGAATTGACTTTATGTTTACGAGCGTGAAACAATTCATCGTCTATACAGTAAATTACTACTTATTGTATTACGACCTGGCAAAGAGAATTCTAGGAAGAAAAACTTAAGGAAGTCCCAGCCTTACGATCAGATTGTCTTAATAATTTGACTCCTTGTCAAAGCATAAAACCGGTCTGTGATAAACTTTTACCACAGACCGGTACACTCATTCTAAAAAGAATCATCTTTAAAAAAAAACTTGGTTTGTGTGCTCCCGCCCTGTAGAAATCCAACCTGATTTATCTACCAACAATATTATCTACTCCAAGCATTACAAAAATAACCTAATAAGTTATTTGCTCAACTATGCCTTCAACTAAAATTATTGTTCTCTCTCTCTCTCTCTCTCTCTCTCTCTCTCTCTCTCTCTCTCTCTCATTCTTTCCTTCTTTCTCTATCTCTGCACTGAATACATGTATTAATTAAGTATTATACTCTCAGTTGAGTTTGTTTTTATACATGTACAGCCCCTATGCTATGTTTGTATTGCACAGGTTTGCCATGTGTATCTCATCTTTCATGGGATTTGATGCCCTATAAGTCTTTTTTTATTATAAGTACTTTTAATGTCTTGTGCAGATTGTATTGTTGGACCATATTTTATCCATGCTAGAATAGCCGACAGGTGTTGGAGGATGCAAAGTCTCAATACTGCAAACTGTAAAATCTATTTATACCAAGAGATGGGGAAGCGATCACCTCCGTTGTAAAGAGCAGCATTTTTCAACCGGTGTGCCGCAGGACATCTTTAGGGGTGCCCCGAAAGAAATTAAGATAGTGTATGTTAAAAAGTTATTTTAGAATAACGTTAATTCCGTGATAACAAAATACTACTAATCATCTATATACTTTTTTGAAAAAAATGTAGCATTTCAACGATAATTAAGCGTTTTTTTCCTCCCTCGCTCGCTTCGCTCTTGCAACATTTAGAAACAGGATGATGAACATACAAATCAGCCGACACTTAAACTGCCAACTGTTACGGGAATGAATGGGAAACAGGGTTATTTTGCAGAAATGGCCATGGCGGCTGGCTTCAGCTCGAATGGTATTCGGATTTCACTGTCCAGGCCCAGATAGCAGTCACTCACAACATGTAGAGAACATAGTATGGTACCTGTAAAGAACAAAATCATTGTTTGAAAATCATGTACTTTTAGGCCTAAGCAAAAAAAAGATGTTGTATTGCCCTTTGCGACCGACCCAAAAATCTTGAAATCTAGACGGATTTTTAATTTTTAACCGTTTTTTAGAAGAAAAAAATATTAAAGCATTCAAAACTGGGAAATATCAGCCAAAAGAGGGAGAAAAAAAAACAAAGTAAAAAAAGAAAAGATTTCCGACCGACCGACCCATGTTTTGGTACCTAAAGGGTAATACAAAATCTTCTTTTTAGGCCTTATTGTGCTCAAAAGAACAAGCATTAGTCTACACAAAGTCACGTGGAAACAAATCAATGAAAGTTAGAGTTTTTCAGGGAAATGAATTTGATAAACGATTGTAAATACTTTCAAGAATTCAACCTAGGCAATTTTAATAGTTGGTCTATCATTCTTTGAAGTGTGTGAACATTACAATGTCGCATGATATCATGCATCCAAACAATATTTGTATAGGCAAGACCTTCGGCAAGACAATAGTGTATTGAAAGTTGACTTGAGTTGATTTCTTGAAAGCCTTAGTGATCGTGTTTAGAGAGGAAAATGAAGTAACTTTGTAGTCACCTTGAACCATTTTCATCTCCATCGAACTCGCACCGTTTTTGCCAAAAAACACAATTATTTTGACTGGACTCAAATTCTGGAACAGCCTGAATAACGAACTAGTTGAAAGCCCCTCCATTAATTCTTTTAAACGAAAGCTCAGGTGTTTCCTTTTGAGTAAGTATGTATAAAAGTATATGTTGATGTCGCGCTGGATCGTACAGGTGGTTATACAGACTTTGTTTTTGTTATTTCACAATGTCATTGATTTCATCAATTTGCTTTCTTTTCTTCTTCTGCCTCTTCTTCTTCTTCCTTCCCTTCTTCACCTTCTCCTAGTTATCATTATTATATTAATTTCTTTACTCTTTATTCTATTTTTCTTTTCTACTCAAATTTACTCTCCTTGTACGTCTATAGAATCTCATACTATACTACTCCGTTTTCGCCTCCTATAATACCTTTTAAATTTAGACCTACTATGTGTAACTCAGTACGGGAGCCTATTCACATACAAGCTATGCTTTTTATTTAGGCTCCACACATTTTACATTGTTTTACCTTGTCATATCTATATATTTCGAAACTTCGTATTTATTTTCCGCACATTATACTTGATTTGAATTTTTTGTTTGTGTGTGTGTAATCTACTTAGTACTCTTATACGCTTGTATACAAAAAAAGAACAATAATTTAAATCGTTTTTGATGTTAATGTGGAATAAATAAACTTCAAACTAAACTTCAAACTTCAAACACCCCTATGAAGGATACGTGTAATGTAATGCACGTATATTAGCTATTATAACTTATTAACACAAATAACAAATGCTCCATTCTAATTTCAAAAATTCCAACATTGATTACAGACTGTTTACCCTTTCTCTGAGGCATCTGGAATGGAAGGTCCACGGAGGTCCGGCCAAAGACGTGGTCAATTCTCTTCCAAGACAGAAGGCTATTGGAGCTTGTTTCATCAAGAACCAACCACCATCTCACTTCCTTCCTCTGGGGGTATCGTGGGGTGTAGGACACCCTCTAAACATAAGGATTTAAAGCGGAGTAACTGATGTTGTTATTGTTGTTATTTTTTGTTGTAATGGGAATCAGTCAAGAATTTAAATATTAATTTTCTTCTTTCTCTTTTTTTTCGCTCTTTTTTAAATATATAATGTGGATAACAGTATACAAAATAAAAAGTAGGTTTCTCTATCTTTTTTTTTGTCCCCTTAAATTGAAAAAACAAACAAACACAAAACCCCGTCCAAATAAAATGTAGATTTTTGTTTCCTGTAGGTTACCGAGTAGTCCTGTCCGTTTTAGGACACCATCCAGACACCGTCCTGTCTCTCGGGTGTAGACAGGGGGCTCCCTTTGGGATACATTAATAATCTGGAAACTAAATGTAAAGGCCCTACTTTTAAAAGAAATGCGTTAAGATGTTAAGTATTAATGAAATATTTCAGAGATTGTCCATTCCGTATATAATTTAAGAGCACTTCATCAGGCGTAAATGAGAGGGAAACAAATTGCTAATGATTTCAAAAACTAATTTGAAAGTATGGATAATACTGGGCATTTCCACATGTACACTAATAATCTCGCCAGTAAATTATCTAGGACATCCTTACTTTGATAAAGTGCTTGCTTTTATTTAGTTTATGATTAGGGTTTTCGAAAGCTTATGTAGACAATAATTAAATTTAATAAAAGAAAAAAAATCTTTAAAAATACACATCATATAAGATTCCATGTTCTAGATAACTAGATAAAGAAAACTAGCATAGGAATGTCAATAAGTTGATCTGATCCTCAGACTACATAATACATAATAATAATAATAATAATAATAATAATAAAAACGGTGCTTATAAAACGCTTACCACCGAAGTATCTAAGCGCTATAACAAACAAAATACAATGATAAACAATTACATATTAAACCAAACCAAATATTACAAAACATCTGAAATATACATCAATGTGAACAGAGTAAATTAATCGTCAAAATCAATTTTGAATAAAATTGTCCTAAGACAAGTTTTAATTTGGTTGACGGTCTGACAGTTCTTGACATGTAAGGATAATTTGCAGGGGTGGATTTCTCGGGGGGGGGGGGACAAACAAAAGGTGCCCTTGAAACTAATTTGGCATATCACACACAAAAATGCCCCTTATTTGTAAATTATTTCAGAAGTTTGCCACAATTTATAGAAAATCTTGGATCCATCCTTGAAATTTGTACATACCTTTGCTCCTTTATTCAATTGACGGAGATTTACATGCAGTGTGTATTCTTGGTTTGCTTGAGCTGTCGTGGTCACAGTGCTTTCAATCTCTTCTTTATGAACTATTAGAGTAATTAACAAGAGAAACAAAATAACAACATTAAGGAGGTGTGAGGATCATGACAACAAACCGCACACAATCAAAAGGACAGGAAAGTTTACAACAGATACAATCATGTTTGAATAACGAATAAGAAGAAAGCATATTTCGTCTTCACTCGGAGTGGAAAAAAATAACTGTGGTAATAACATTCTTGACTGCTTATTTATTAGGTGTCATAAGAAATAAATATATATTGACAGGACTGTATGAAATGAATTAGAGAAATACAAAACATACAAGTTTTGTAAAAAATTCGGAAATAGGAATTTTAAACAAATTCAGAAGAAGGGTCATATACTACTAGAGTGCTTTAATTCAAAGTTACGGTCACGATTAATTCAGATTTATTCTTCATTGAAATGTAAATTTTAAGGTCATTAAACACATTACAAAACAATTCAACAATGACACCGTTAAAGGGAACCAATACCTTCATACTAAGTTCCTTTCTTGTAAAGTTTAAGATATTTGAATAAAATTAGTGAAAATTTGAACAAAATCGGGCAAGGAATAAGGAAGTTAAAGCTTGTTGGAATGACTAGTCACTAGAAGGCGATATTCAATTTGATGACATCATTTGTGGACAACTCTCCATGCCTTTTGTACATCAAATTTCATGTTTTTCCTTTTTTCTTGTGATTGAGATAATCTACTCCCTGAAAGCAAGGTATAGAATGCTAAATGATATTCTACTTTACATGTTATTATGAAGCCGGATCAAGAACACAAATAAATACGAAGAAAACGAAAGAATTGTAATTTTTTTTGCTTAAGAATATATTTAATTTCAAGGTCACAAATGGCTCTCCATGATGTTTAAGTCCAACTTAGAGTTGAGTTCGACTTAGGATCTTTGTGAAACACCCCCTTGTGATGTTGCTTACTTGACTTGGGAAGTCTCTTAGCCCCACGCATGTTGGTTGCTGTTTGTGATGGACCGTCACTGATTGATACATCTATCTTGAGAAGAGGCAGCTTTTCTAGAGCATCCCAAATCTAAAGTAGATATCAAATTCAAGATTTTCAAGATTTTATCGAAAATGATAATAATAATACCAAAATGACAATAATTTCTTGAGGAAATAAATGGATAGATGCCATTTCGTACTGAACACATTGCACTCCCAAAATAAACCATTCCTCAAGAAGTTTAGTGGTAAAACATTACTCCCCGCCCCCCCCCCCCCCACTCCGGGGTCGGAATGACCGCATGCGTGTTACCAAAATTTCCGTTAAAGGGGTACTTTTCACGCACCAAAGTCCGACTCGAACATACACAAAATTGACTTTACACACCGGACTTAGGGGTGTTTTCAAAAGGAGGGAACACGCATATGCGTACCCTAAATAACACTAAGTGGGGGCCGGGCATTACTCTCAGTCATTATGAACGGTATATGTTCATGTTACATCATCGACCAACTACTACATGCACGTTGTTTATAGATAGGAAATACCTTTGACAAGCTATTCAGGTTGCTAGTGGTGAAATGAAGCATGACAAAAATGCATGATAATTGTGCCATGAATAAAAGGCAAAAGGCAAAATTGCAAAACTGCTGCAATTATGAATGTTTACCTCTTGGATCTGAGTTGGGTTGAGATCAATCTGCAGCATGCCCTCAAGAACTTCCTTCTTCCCATTACAGGTATTGATGAGCTGACTCAACAATTCTTCTTTCCTAACCTTTCCGCCATGTTTGCTGTCACACGAAGAGAAAAAAATGAATGAATTTAATTTATTTTTCCTGACATGTAGCCATGGTAATTCTATTGAGCAAAATTTGTTTCAGGTTAAGCGTTATCTAGGTACAGTATGAAGAATTCTCAAAATGCTATTCGCGACGCAGGGCCTGCCGAAATAAAACGAAAATGCACCTGGCCGTGGAATGAACTTTCATCGCCATGTGCATCATCATCACCATCATCATCTGCCTAATAATTGTCATCATTATCATCATCAGCTCACTCATCATCATCAGTAGCAGCGGAATAAGGAGAAGGGGAAGAAGAAGGATCGAGAAAAATAAGAAGAAGACAACAAGAAGAAGAAGGTGATGAAGACGAAGGAGAAGAAGAAGAAGAAGAAGAAGATGATGATGATGAAGAAGAAGAAGTGTTCAACATGCTTTCAAAGAAAACAACGAGATACCGACGAGAGATTGATTACAAATAAATTTAACCCAGGCCTGCAGACAATTCAAACAACAAAGTCTCTCATACCTGATCTTGAAGCGAGGGAGGAGAGCTCGGGTGATATGCGGTAGCGTAAGGAGAGGAGACTCGTCTGCCCATCTGGCCTGCATGATAGACTGGCTTGTACGCATGCTCAGAAGGATCTCAGTGAAGGATCTCCTGTCTCCAGAAACCTCAACCATGGCCTATAGGATTTGATGAAAATACGGCAAAATGAAATGGTTGGATAGCGGTGATCGCAGTCAGGATAATGGCGACAGAGAAGAGAAAAACAAGTAGAAGGAAAGTAAAGAGAGGGAATGTAAGGAGAACAAGTAGGAAATGTTAAAGAAGAAGAAATAGAATATAGAGAAAAAGAAGAAGAAGAGAAAGAGGAGGATGAACGCAGAGGAGAAGGAGAAGAAAAAAGTAGAAGACAATAATGAAGAAGAAGAAGGAGAAGGTGTGGAGGTGGGGAGTAGAGGAATGAATTAGAGATTAAAAGAAGAACAAACAAAAAGAGAGAAAGAAAGAAAACAAACACAAAATATTGTAGGCTTGCATAAGCTCTGTCAGATTTTTTGCAGGTGATAGATTCCATGTTATTTTGCTTTTCCAATCCAAAGGCCTTATTTTCTGATCTATCCTTTATATTAGCCAATATTCCAAAGATTACTTCTTGGTCGTTTTGAAAAAAAACATTTTGCCGCCCTTGCTTGGTCATGTTGCTAAATTTAGAAACTAAACTGAATATGAAATAAAGTCTGTACGTTGATGAGCATGGCTATGCGATCCAAGATGGCTCTGGTATCTGTGTTGTAGTCGTTGGTAGGGAGATCAGCCCGGGTGAGATGAGCTTGGAGAAGTAGATAGGTCTTGGTACGGGGACTTTGAAAGTCCATTTGGCTCATCGGAATGGCATGGCCGCATCGTGGTAGTGCCGTAGAAAGCGTTCTGTAAGATATACACAAACAATTTCATAAGCACGGTAATAAAGAATCTTTGCAAAATCAATCTTAATCAATTTTAATAGTCTTATGCGTCACCTATTGAATGGATTTATAAAACCATATAAGACTGCTAGTACTTCAACATCTACTGCAGATAATTAATAATTACCCTATTTGTATCTTCTACAAAATTAGAAACCAGTGTTAGTTTTATCATACAGGTAGTAATATTATTATTAATAATATTAATATGACTACTATTAATACTATTATTGTTTTACAACTATTACTGTTACTACTACTACTACTACTACTACTACTACTACTACTACTACTACTAACACTACTACTACTACTACTACTACTACTACTACTACTACTACTACCACTTCCACTGCTACAACAACTACTACTACTACTGCTACTAATTCTACTACTACTACTACTACTACTACTACTACTACTACTACTACGACTACTTGTACCACTACTACTTCAACTACTTAGACTACTGTATAATTTCTACTAAATTATCCAAAGTATCTAGGTTTGGCATTTAAAATGTTCTAAAGTAATATTGTTCTTGGTAGCGAGAAAGGACTATAACACAATACACACCTGTTCAAGTTGTCCTCATTTGCACGCACTGGGGTCCCTGAAAACTCCTTTGCCTCCTGCATTGGGCACATATGATGAGAGAGAGAGAGAGAGAGAGAGAGAGAGAATGAATAAGAGGGCTTCTACGGATAAGTACTCTCAGATATACAAAAATAACTTGATAATCTTCGGGCTTCTATTTATTGTTTGAACAGCACAGAACACTCTTATCAGCATTAAAATAGGAGAAAAAGACGAAGAAGAAGAGGAAGAGAACAAAAGAAAAAGAAGAAGAAGAAGAAGAAAAGAGATAGAGCTGGACAGAAAGAACCATAGGTATTTGAGGATGGGATAATGGGGAAAGTACATGCAGAGAAACAATGAAATACAGAGAGACCGAGAGGAATGGGTGTTGTGTGGGTGTTTGTGTCGAATGAGATGCATGTAGATTGAGAGGGATGGGAGGAAAGAGTAGGAGAAACGAGAGAGGGGAGGAGGGGTGTTGTGTGGGTGTGGGTGTCGAAGGAGATGGATGTAAATTTAGAGGGTCGGGAGGAAAGAGTAGAAGAAAGGAGAGAGGGGAAGAGGGGTTTTGTGTGGGTGTGTATGTTTGTCGAAGGAGATGGAAATAGATTTAGAGGGTCGGGAGGAAAGAGGAGGAGAATCGAGAAGGGGAGGAGGGATGTTTGTGGGTGTGTGTGGCGAAGGAGATGGATGTAGATTTAGAGGGTCGGGAGGAAAGAGTAGAAGAATCAAGAGAGGGGAGGAGGGGTGTTTGTGGGTGTGCGTGGCGAAGGAGATGAATGTAGATGTTTTTTGATCATTGCTTACAGTTTGTGGGTGGTAGATTTATTTTTTTATGTGATTATGATTTAAACAAGATTAAACTCGTTTTAGATATTCCACCATACTATATGGAAATGTTGCAAGCATGGCAAGAGACAAGTAATTTAAGATATTTGGAGGGTTATATTAATCCAATTATTTTTAATAATCAGAATATATGTATAAATGGAAAAAGTATATTTGATAGATACTTGTTTGAAAGAGGGATTGTTCAACTGAATCATTTGGTTGAGAAAGGTCATGTTAAGCATGTTAAATATTTTATGAACCTCGGTATGAAAGGTAATAATTTGCTTATGATTATTGATATTTATGATGCGATACCCAGGTTATGGAAGGATGATTCAGGGTTAATAGAATTCCTCGAGGTTGATTTGATAAGCTTTAATACTTATTTCCATATTTCTAGTAAAAAAATACAGTTTGTGGATGTGGGTTCAAGAACAATCTATGATTATTTTATCAAAGCACTGCAACGAACGTATGATTTGCAGGTAAGGGATGGGCACAATGATTATGATTTTATAGATAAAGAATTAAAAGAAATATTTGTTAGACCAAGAATTACTATACTCATTAGAAAACAACGTGAATTTCAATTTAAATTATTGCATGGAGCCATATACACTAATGAGCATCTTCATAGATTTGGTTTTGTTGGTGATAATTTATGTTCGTTTTGTATTAAAGCAGGAAATAGAAACATACAAACATTTATTTTTATCTTGTTCAAGCGTTCAAAGGTTATGGCAGGCTTTAATACAACTTTTTGAGTTAGATGAAATTAAAGATTTAGAATGGCGAGATATATTTGTTGGGTTGGTAGGTAGTTCATATAGAATAAAAATGTGTAATACTATCATTTTCATGGTGAAGTATGTTACATTTATGTCAAGATCAGGGGGGCGAGTACTAACTTTAGAAAAGATGAAAAAAAGCATTTTTAAGTATAGGGATGAGGAAAACAAAATAGCAATTAAAATTGGAAAGCTAGGATCACATTTCTTAAAGTGGGAGCAGCTTAAGATTAATTAAGATTTGCTTTCTTCTCCACCGTGAGCCTGTTAAAAGCGTAACTCGATTTTGCGGCCTGGATAACTTATTTAGTGGCCTGGATAACTTATTTAGTATATTTTTCTTGAGTTGAGAATGTTGGCAGACATCCACTGAGTGAGTACTGTGTGTGTGTGTGGGGGGGGGGGTGGGTGGGTGGGTGAGTATGTGTGTGAGTGGGTAAGTATGTTTGTGTGATAGAGGGTGAGTATGTCTGTGTGATGGAGGGGGCAGGGAGGGGGCAGGATTGTTTCAGTAAAATTACCTCCAGATTTGTTTTTTTTTGTAATATATAAGTAAATAACATTTACAATTGACATATTATGTTTAAGTACTTATACGTTTACTTTGTTGCTAAGTTATATTATACTGCAAATAAGTTTGTGTTTAATTATGTTTATGTAAAAACATCAATATTGAACACGTTTATTTTATTCAATTGTATGTCATGGTTTGTATTACACATCTGGAGAAATAAAACAAAATTGTTAAAAAAAAAAAAAGATTTAGAGGGTCGGGAGGAAAGAGTAGGAGAATCAAGAAAGGGGAGGAGGGATGTTTGTGGGTGTGCGTGGCGAAGGAGATGCATGTAGATTGAGAGGGTCGGGAGGAAAGAGTAGGAGAAACGAGAGAGGGGAGGAGGGGTGTTGTGTGGGTGTGGGTGTCGAAGGAGATGGATGTAAATTTAGAGGGTCGGGAGGAAAGAGTAGAAGAAAGGAGAGAGGGGAAGAGGGGTTTTGTGTGGGTGTGTATGTTTGTCGAAGGAGATGGAAATAGATTAAGAGGGTCGGGAGGAAAGAGGAGGAGAATCGAGAAGGGGAGGAGGGATGTTTGTGGGTGTGTGTGGCGAAGGAGATGGATGTAGATTTAGAGGGTCGGGAGGAAAGAGTAGAAGAATCAAGAGAGGGGAGGAGGGGTGTTTGTGGGTGTGCGTGGCGAAGGAGATGAATGTAGATTTAGAGGGTCGGGAGGAAAGAGTAGAAGAAAGGAGAGAGGGGAAGAGGGGTTTTGTGTGGGTGTGTATGTTTGTCGAAGGAGATGGAAATAGATTTAGAGGGTCGGGAGGAAAGAGGAGGAGAATCGAGAAGGGGAGGAGGGATGTTTGTGGGTGTGTGTGGCGAAGGAGATGGATGTAGATTTAGAGGGTCGGGAGGAAAGAGTAGAAGAATCAAGAGAGGGGAGGAGGGGTGTTTGTGGGTGTGCGTGGCGAAGGAGATGAATGTAGATGTTTTTTGATCATTGCTTACAGTTTGTGGGTGGTAGATTTATTTTTTTATGTGATTATGATTTAAACAAGATTAAACTCGTTTTAGATATTCCACCATACTATATGGAAATGTTGCAAGCATGGCAAGAGACAAGTAATTTAAGATATTTGGAGGGTTATATTAATCCAATTATTTTTAATAATCAGAATATATGTATAAATGGAAAAAGTATATTTGATAGATACTTGTTTGAAAGAGGGATTGTTCAACTGAATCATTTGGTTGAGAAAGGTCATGTTAAGCATGTTAAATATTTTATGAACCTCGGTATGAAAGGTAATAATTTGCTTATGATTATTGATATTTATGATGCGATACCCAGGTTATGGAAGGATGATTCAGGGTTAATAGAATTCCTCGAGGTTGATTTGATAAGCTTTAATACTTATTTCCATATTTCTAGTAAAAAAATACAGTTTGTGGATGTGGGTTCAAGAACAATCTATGATTATTTTATCAAAGCACTGCAACGAACGTATGATTTGCAGGTAAGGGATGGGCACAATGATTATGATTTTATAGATAAAGAATTAAAAGAAATATTTGTTAGACCAAGAATTACTATACTCATTAGAAAACAACGTGAATTTCAATTTAAATTATTGCATGGAGCCATATACACTAATGAGCATCTTCATAGATTTGGTTTTGTTGGTGATAATTTATGTTCGTTTTGTATTAAAGCAGGAAATAGAAACATACAAACATTTATTTTTATCTTGTTCAAGCGTTCAAAGGTTATGGCAGGCTTTAATACAACTTTTTGAGTTAGATGAAATTAAAGATTTAGAATGGCGAGATATATTTGTTGGGTTGGTAGGTAGTTCATATAGAATAAAAATGTGTAATACTATCATTTTCATGGTGAAGTATGTTACATTTATGTCAAGATCAGGGGGGCGAGTACTAACTTTAGAAAAGATGAAAAAAAGCATTTTTAAGTATAGGGATGAGGAAAACAAAATAGCAATTAAAATTGGAAAGCTAGGATCACATTTCTTAAAGTGGGAGCAGCTTAAGATTAATTAAGATTTGCTTTCTTCTCCACCGTGAGCCTGTTAAAAGCGTAACTCGATTTTGCGGCCTGGATAACTTATTTAGTGGCCTGGATAACTTATTTAGTATATTTTTCTTGAGTTGAGAATGTTGGCAGACATCCACTGAGTGAGTACTGTGTGTGTGTGTGGGGGGGGGGGGGGGGTGGGTGGGTGGGTGAGTATGTGTGTGAGTGGGTAAGTATGTTTGTGTGATAGAGGGTGAGTATGTCTGTGTGATGGAGGGGGCAGGGAGGGGGCAGGATTGTTTCAGTAAAATTACCTCCAGATTTGTTTTTTTTGTAATATATAAGTAAATAACATTTACAATTGACATATTATGTTTAAGTACTTATACGTTTACTTTGTTGCTAAGTTATATTATACTGCAAATAAGTTTGTGTTTAATTATGTTTATGTAAAAACATCAATATTGAACACGTTTATTTTATTCAATTGTATGTCATGGTTTGTATTACACATCTGGAGAAATAAAACAAAATTGTTAAAAAAAAAAAAAGATTTAGAGGGTCGGGAGGAAAGAGTAGGAGAATCAAGAAAGGGGAGGAGGGATGTTTGTGGGTGTGCGTGGCGAAGGAGATGCATGTAGATTGAGAGGGTCGGGAGGAAAGAGTAGGAGAAACGAGAGAGGGGAGGAGGGGTGTTGTGTGGGTGTGGGTGTCGAAGGAGATGGATGTAAATTTAGAGGGTCGGGAGGAAAGAGTAGAAGAAAGGAGAGAGGGGAAGAGGGGTTTTGTGTGGGTGTGTATGTTTGTCGAAGGAGATGGAAATAGATTAAGAGGGTCGGGAGGAAAGAGGAGGAGAATCGAGAAGGGGAGGAGGGATGTTTGTGGGTGTGTGTGGCGAAGGAGATGGATGTAGATTTAGAGGGTCGGGAGGAAAGAGTAGAAGAATCAAGAGAGGGGAGGAGGGGTGTTTGTGGGTGTGCGTGGCGAAGGAGATGAATGTAGATTTAGAGGGTCGGGAGGAAAGAGTAGAAGAAAGGAGAGAGGGGAAGAGGGGTTTTGTGTGGGTGTGTATGTTTGTCGAAGGAGATGGAAATAGATTTAGAGGGTCGGGAGGAACGAGGAGGAGAATCGAGAAGGGGAGGAGGGATGTTTGTGGGTGTGTGTGGCGAAGGAGATGGATGTAGATTTAGAGGGTCGGGAGGAAAGAGTAGAAGAATCAAGAGAGGGGAGGAGGGGTGTTTGTGGGTGTGCGTGGCGAAGGAGATGAATGTAGATGTTTTTTGATCATTGCTTACAGTTTGTGGGTGGTAGATTTATTTTTTTATGTGATTATGATTTAAACAAGATTAAACTCGTTTTAGATATTCCACCATACTATATGGAAATGTTGCAAGCATGGCAAGAGACAAGTAATTTAAGATATTTGGAGGGTTATATTAATCCAATTATTTTTAATAATCAGAATATATGTATAAATGGAAAAAGTATATTTGATAGATACTTGTTTGAAAGAGGGATTGTTCAACTGAATCATTTGGTTGAGAAAGGTCATGTTAAGCATGTTAAATATTTTATGAACCTCGGTATGAAAGGTAATAATTTGCTTATGATTATTGATATTTATGATGCGATACCCAGGTTATGGAAGGATGATTCAGGGTTAATAGAATTCCTCGAGGTTGATTTGATAAGCTTTAATACTTATTTCCATATTTCTAGTAAAAAAATACAGTTTGTGGATGTGGGTTCAAGAACAATCTATGATTATTTTATCAAAGCACTGCAACGAACGTATGATTTGCAGGTAAGGGATGGGCACAATGATTATGATTTTATAGATAAAGAATTAAAAGAAATATTTGTTAGACCAAGAATTACTATACTCATTAGAAAACAACGTGAATTTCAATTTAAATTATTGCATGGAGCCATATACACTAATGAGCATCTTCATAGATTTGGTTTTGTTGGTGATAATTTATGTTCGTTTTGTATTAAAGCAGGAAATAGAAACATACAAACATTTATTTTTATCTTGTTCAAGCGTTCAAAGGTTATGGCAGGCTTTAATACAACTTTTTGAGTTAGATGAAATTAAAGATTTAGAATGGCGAGATATATTTGTTGGGTTGGTAGGTAGTTCATATAGAATAAAAATGTGTAATACTATCATTTTCATGGTGAAGTATGTTACATTTATGTCAAGATCAGGGGGGCGAGTACTAACTTTAGAAAAGATGAAAAAAAGCATTTTTAAGTATAGGGATGAGGAAAACAAAATAGCAATTAAAATTGGAAAGCTAGGATCACATTTCTTAAAGTGGGAGCAGCTTAAGATTAATTAAGATTTGCTTTCTTCTCCACCGTGAGCCTGTTAAAAGCGTAACTCGATTTTGCGGCCTGGATAACTTATTTAGTGGCCTGGATAACTTATTTAGTATATTTTTCTTGAGTTGAGAATGTTGGCAGACATCCACTGAGTGAGTACTGTGTGTGTGTGTGGGGGGGGGGGGGGTGGGTGGGTGGGTGAGTATGTGTGTGAGTGGGTAAGTATGTTTGTGTGATAGAGGGTGAGTATGTCTGTGTGATGGAGGGGGCAGGGAGGGGGCAGGATTGTTTCAGTAAAATTACCTCCAGATTTGTTTTTTTTGTAATATATAAGTAAATAACATTTACAATTGACATATTATGTTTAAGTACTTATACGTTTACTTTGTTGCTAAGTTATATTATACTGCAAATAAGTTTGTGTTTAATTATGTTTATGTAAAAGCATCAATATTGAACACGTTTATTTTATTCAATTGTATGTCATGGTTTGTATTACACATCTGGAGAAATAAAACAAAATTGTTAAAAAAAAAAAAAGATTTAGAGGGTCGGGAGGAAAGAGTAGGAGAATCAAGAGAGGGGAGGAGGGATGTTTGTGGGTGTGCGTGGCGAAGGAGATGCATGTAGATTGAGAGGGTCGGGAGGAAAGAGTAGGAGAAACGAGAGAGGGGAGGAGGGGTGTTGTGTGGGTGTGGGTGTCGAAGGAGATGAATGTAGATTTAGAGGGTCGGGAGGAAAGAGGAGAATCGAGAGAGGGAAGGAGGGGTGTTTGTGGGTGTGCGTGGCGAAGGAGATGAATGTAGATTTAGAGGGTCGGGAGGAAAGAGGAGGAGAATCGAGAGAGGGGAGGAGGGGTGTTTGTGGGTGTGCGTGGCGAAGGAGAGGAATGTAGATTTAGATGGTCGGGAGGAAAGAGGAGGAGAATCGAGAGAGGGGAGGAGGGGGTGTTTGTGGGTGTGTGTGGCGAAGGAGATGAATGTAAATTTAGAGGGTCGGGAGGAAAGAGCAGGAGAATCGAAAGAGAGGGGAGGAGGGATGTTGAGTGGGTGTGTGTGTGTGTGTGTGTTTGTCGGAGATGGAAGTAGATTTAGAGGGTCGGGAGGAAAGAGTAGGAGAATCGAGAGAGGGGAGGAGGGGGTGTTGTGTGGGTGTGTGTGTGTGTGGCGAAGGAGATGAATGTAGATTTAGAGGGTCGGGAGGAAGAGTAGGAGAAACAAGAGAGGGGAAACAGGGGTAAAATGTGGGTTGTGTGTCGAAGGAGATGCATGTAGATTGAGAGAGACGGAAGAAAAGAGTAGGATAAACGAGAGAGGGGATGAGGGGTGTTTTGCGTGTGTGTGGCTAACAAGAAGCATGTCGATTGAGAGGAACGGGAGGAAAGAGTAGGAGAAACGAGAGAGGGGAGGAGGGGTGTTGTGTGGGTGTGTGTGTGTCGAAGAAGATGCATTTAGATTGAGAGGGACGAGAGGAAAGAGTAGGAGAAACGAGAGAGGGGAAAAGAGGGTAAAAAGTGAGTGTATGTGTGTCGAAGGAGATGCATGTAGATTAAGAGAGACGGAAGAAAAGAGTAGGAGGGGGTGTTGTGTGCGTGTGTGTGGCCAAGGAGATGCATCCCCGACAAGGTTTTAAGAGAGTATGAACGTTAAAAAAGACTGAGAAGCAGGCCAAAAAAGAAATGCACTTTCAGTAACACTACAAAGAAGCGTGTTCTACTTTAAAACATATTGTAAGTTGAAGAAACCCTCAAACCCTTACTGCCTTCTATGGTTCTTTTGAAAAATAGTTTTAAACATAATGAACGATAAGGAGAAGCAGAATAACAGAAAGACTGAAAGAAAAAAAAGAAGAAATGCACGGGTACTGTAGACAATTTTATACACGATAATGTAAATGTAATTACATACTAATTGTTTTTCTCGGTCCCAATCGTTACCTAACTTCCACTGCTACACGTATGTAATTATTACTTACTGACAAGATTTTGAGACAGTAAGCCAAGGATGTCGGTCTTGTCGATTGGCTGAATTTCAGGACTGTGGCTGGTAGTACGTAGTTCTCTGCTGCTATCTTGCCCAGAGATTGGGACTTGCATGTTGTGGTCGAAGCCGATGGCTACAGCAAGCACAGAGAAAATGGTGTTTATAAGTCTAAGATTTGTTCATAATTAGCCAACAAGTTATGGGTTCAATCTCGTTCTCATTCTATATGTAAGGAATCGTTACAATACTTTCTTCAAAAAGATAAATCCATGTCTGGTTGGAACAAGAAAGGCATTAACTGAAACCATTTTTACACAGAGTTAAAGCCATTCTGGCTCCAAACATACTTTGATGGTATATTTCATACTCGAATATTAAAAAGAATCAGAGTATCCATAATACGTATTGTTTATACGAACTATGACAATACTTTGTCACACATATTTCTTTAATAAGATATTAGACTGCAATTTTTTTTTGGCAGGGCCTATCATTTAACACATATTTGATTAGGGCCTATATTATTAGAGACATCATAATAGCGATAAATGATTCAAATTCAGTGACAGTTTATCTATAAATCATGAAATGTGTGGATAACTAGTTATTTCATTTACTTTGCAAGAGCCAAACCGAATCGAGAAGAAAGAAAGAAAGTGAAAAAAGAAGAAGAAGAAGAAATTATAGTAAATCTAACTTTTAATAACAAGAATGAATTTACTTACAACGTTTCAATATGTTAATTAAGGTATTTTCTATAGTTATGTCTTAATCTAACCACCTCTGTGTTTACTTGGAAAATCGTCCCAGAGCCAGAAGGGACGTTAATTCTGAGTAAAATTATATGAGTCAATACCCTCCTGGCTCTCAGTAAAGGGAATAGAAGATGTTGTAACCATGGCAACCCATACCTTTGTAGTGATGCACTCAGCATCCATGAGTTTCATCAAGACTTCTTGAGCCGTGGTCAGCCGGAAGGATCTGATGGTAGTAGGACGGGCATCTTTCGCACCGTAGAAACTATTTACAAACATGATGAAAGAGGGTTTGATGAAAGAGGGTGACCGTAAGCCTTTTACTGCTTTATTCTATTTACTTAGTTTTCTCTTCTTTCTTTAATATCATCTATTTTTTCTTTCTTTCGTTTTTTACTTGGCAAATATGGAAAAGGGAGTTATTCTTAATTATGATTAAACGCTCGAGCATGTGTTATATTAACCTGAGGACGTCTTCTTAGAGCCAGTAAGACGTTAACTCTGCTTTAAAGTATATGAGTTAACGCCCTTCTGGCTCTGAACAGTCTTTCTGCAGTACCTTGGGTTGGAAGAGACTCTCCGATAGAAGAAAGTTTTCATGATGTATCTCTCCACCTCCATCACGGTAGTAAGCTCACCCGCAGCTATCTCCGCGTTAACATGGTCTGCTAGGGACTCCACTGAATGCCTGTTAAAACATGAACATAGATACGGAAGTATAAAAAATGCGTATGATATTTTATACACTCGTAGTGGTCTGATGACTATAGTAATAAGAATGATCATAATTATGTAATGTTATTAAAAAAAAAACACATGTTAATGCCCTACAATGAAGACTAATTCAACCAGCGCATACTCAATACAATTTCGAAAAAGTTGTCAAAAACTGAATAGATGTAAAACAGACTTTTGAATATGGAGGGGGTAAAGCTGGGCAGGTGTTTCGATAGAAACATGATTACATGGGCCCATTTCATAAAACTTTTTATCTATAACAAATGCTAAATTTCTATGACAAATTTGCTCTCAGCCAATTAGATGCCTTGATTTCAGTAGCTTATAACAGTAGCTTGTAACTTGTTATTGATATCAAGTTTTATGAAACAGGGTCCAGATGTTAAGATGTTAATCAGAATATTTGCAAAGACTGCAGAATGATTTCCTTACCTGGATTCGATGTTCATAGATTCTTTCAGTAAACCCTCATAGTAGTGCGCCTTGACATCGTGGACCATTACGACCGCTGAGCCTTTATGGTCCCGACTGTGATGACCTGCCCGACCCACCATCTGTAGGATATCTGATTGAAAGAAGACGAGAAAGAGAAAGAAGTTTAGATGGAGAAAAGATTAAGAATTTTTAAATTTGTTATAAAATAGTGCCCCTTGACTTCGTAAAACGGTACAACTACTGAGCCTTTAGAGTCACCACCGTGACGACCTACCCGACCAATCATCTGAAGGATATCTGAATGACAGAATGTTGGAAAGAGAAGGTGAGAAAGAGAAGGTGAGAAAGAGAAGGTGAGAAAGAGAAAGAAGGAAAGAAGGAGAAAAGATTAATCGTTTGACAAGAAAAAAACAAACTAACAAATATAACCCCAACCCCCAGAAAAAAATGAATAAACCTAAAAATGAACCCCCAAAACAAAACAAAAAACATATTTTTAGGAGGGGGGGGGGGTGTTATTTGAAAAAGTAACACTCTGGTTTTCATGGCGCTGTATCATTTTGTTCCTCGGATAGGACGGATGCTCTAATACTTACAAATATGTACATACTTGTCATTAGTAGTTATCGTTATTTAAAAGTATGACCAATGACTTGTTATTTTTAAGAAGTTTAAGCCACAGAATACACATTCATGATAACACTGACTTTATCCTTGTATTTATCAAATCAATGTAGTCATACAATGAGACCCAATAGCCAATTAATAACCAGATCACATGATGATTGGTAACACATTTGGGAGCAGCGTCTTCGCTGTTTCTGTTTTTTTTTTTTTTGGGGGGGGGGGGCGACATCACCCCAATTAGAATATATTTTGTCGGCAAATGTAAAATAAAATGACTAAAACAAATTGATTTGCTAAATTAATGGTAGCATTTAAAAGTACAACATCCCATTCCAAATGATTTGCAACGCCCTGTAACGAAAAAGTTATGACATGTCAACATACATAAAGCATAACATTGCTTTTATTGATCCATTATAAGCACCCTTAAGATGAGAAGGTATTCTTGAATTACCTGTCACTGGCATGTCTACGTATCTCTCACTCTTGGCATCGTATTGTTCCGTTCCCTTGACAACGACTAGACGAGCGCCCAGATCGGTCGCCCATGCGAGATTCTTGGTAGCTACCAGTACCTGACGAGGGCGAGATGAGTCGAAATTAAGGGGAAGGGGGGGGGGGGGGGGGGGGTAAGAAGAGGTGCGGATGGAAATGCGTGGGTGAATAAGGAACACTATGGATAAACATCAAAAGACTCATTTGGAAGGAGGTATGATGGCAATATAAAACCATTTAACTAGGTATGATATAAAAATTCATATAATTTTTATTGCAATAGTCAATCTATATTTCCTTTAACACTCTCTTGAAATGTGCAACTGGTGTTTTTTTTAAACATAAATCTATGTTTTGTGACACTAGTTGGTTAATAATGATGTCATTGAATGATTTTTAACATAAATAGGGCGCCGTATTCATCATCATCCTGATCATCACCATCCTCCTGGTCATCATCATCCTCCTGATCAACATCATCCTCATCATCCTGATCAGCACCATCATCATCATCATTATCATCATCATCACCATCATCACCATCATCATCATCATCATCATCACCATCATCATCATCATCATCATTATCATCATCACCACCACCATCATCATCATCATCATCATCACCATCATCATCATCATCATCACCATCATCATCATCATCACCACCACCATCATCATTATCAGTTTCATGATCATCACCATCACTGACATCATCATCACCATCACTGACATCATCATCATCATCATCATCATCATCATCATCATCATCATCAAAAAAAAAAAGAAAAAAAAAAGAAGAAAAAAAAGCGCTATATAAGAACGAGCTATTATTATTATTATTATCATCATACCTGTATGTGTCTTTCACGGTAGAGTTGTTCCACTGTCCTCCTGTCTTCAACACTGAGGCCAGCATGATGAACACCAACCCCGAATGTTAGGGAGAGCTTTAGGTTGTCATCTGTGATGTCTTTGCACACTTCTTCAATCTGAGTGTTAATATGAAGGGAAAATTTTGAGAAATGTGTGGAGAGAGAGAGAGAGAGCTGGTTAAATTACTACGAGGAAGAAAGACAGATAGACATGAGGGAAGAAAGAGCAACCAAGAATAGAAAGAGAATGGATGAAAGAGATGGGGAAGGAGTGAGAGAGAGAGAGAGAGAGAGAGAGAGAGAGAGAGAGAGAGAGAGAGAGAGAGAGAGAGAGAGAGAAAAAAGAGAGAGAGAGAAAGAGAGAGAGCGCAATAAAAGGATTCAAGTAATACAAAAACTATAACATTTATTGTACTAAATGATTTAACTATATACATTATGAATTGGCATGAATGTTTTCATGAATAGTACAACAACACACAAATATTGAAATATTTTTCACTTTTCTTTGATAACGAAATGTTTCGATCCTACCTCTTCACTTGTCATTTCGTGGAGCCAGATTTTGGGATCCTTCTCTGTTCGTAGGTGAGCAATAAGCTCGAAGGCTGTTGCTGACGTCTGCTTCTTTGAAGCTACGAAGATGATGACTGGCTTCTCCCGGGCATTGGCCTGAATTTCTGTTCAATAAAAAAATAAAAAAATAAAGGAAAATAAAGAAGACCCGATGCCCTTTTGTTTTCAAGAAGTATTTGTATTTAACAGGATCCTCAGAAGATGGGGTGGGGAGAACAAATGTTTCACCAGTAATGGGTCTACTTTATGAGCTGAATTTAAGATGTAAATATTCACACACGAAAAATAATGTGCATAGGACAAATATTCTGAAATCAATTATATACATCTTAATGTCATCTAGGGGATACGTCGCTGGACTGTGAATCACAGGATTCTCGGTTCAAGTCCCATGACATCACTAATATCCTTTACCAAGACATTAGTCTACATTTGCCCCCCTCCATCCAGGTGTAGTAAATGTTTACCCGGTAGAAAGACATTCCTAGAATGCTTTAGCGCCTTATCATGGTAGCTCGGCTGAAGCCATGGTAATAATATGATTACAAAATATAATGGAGAATAGTATTATCATTGGTAGAGCTACACTTATCAAGGCTTAACATGTATTATTGTTTTTATTATTGAAGGCAGGGTATTTTACCGACATCGCTACTATTGCAATGTATTTCTGCAATCTATCGAACCAGGCGTACGTAGAGTGATTTCCGGTTCCTGTTCCCAAAGTATCATCATGCGCGCGTTATGCAGATAGTGATGCATTGTGGGACATGGTTATGTTAACATCGGGACATTGTGAGCAGCAGGTGGCAGTAGTGCCTTTAAATCAATGAGTCATCTTACCTTGGTAGATTGGCTTGTTCATGGCAGCAGCCCGATTGTGATAGTACTTGCCCGAGAATCCCAGAACGGTTATCTCAAGAGGAACAGGGCGCTCATCTGCTTTGAAGTTATACGAGTAACCCTGATAATGAAAGATTGTTAGGTTCAAGAGATTATCCTTTTATCATTTTTAGTGTGGTCAGTCATTTGGAGGCCAGGAAAAGGTCTTACATTTCAACTGTATTCAGGGTTTATCACCTTTCAATGGAGAGCCATCAATTTACGATCAGTTTTTACGGAAAAGTTATAATAACCTTTCTAGTACAAGACTTTCTAATAAGAGTTGCCACGTAGAAATATACAGTTGGCGATGCTATGTGTGTGTTGGGTTTTTACAGACGTGTATCAATCAGATATGATTATTTATGTCTGAGGACCTACCTTTAACGTCACTATCCAAAGAACTTGACTCATTTTTGAACCGGGGTCGCCAAGCTTAGTCAGTTTGTAGGCCAAGACAGAGAGCTGACCAAGTGAACCTGCCGCTAGTTCAACTCACATTTCCCTATTGGCGGTGCTCCTGGAATGCATGTTTTTTAAACGGATGTAGTCCCAGGATTTGCTAAGGTTGGCCGGTGTGAAGGTGTGGCCTTAGTGTTTTTACCCTAACTTGATTTTTCCCCAGGAAGGGATTGTAGGGATAGGAGCAAAACAATCAAAACAACCAAAAGCAAAAACAACAGAAAAACAAACAAATAATGAAAAACAAAAACAAACCAATCCCAACCAAACAAAAAAACAAGCGAAACCAGAGATATCCCTGAAATTGGTTTTCATCTTGAAAAGGCCCTTTTTCATCTTTTTCTCAATCAAGGGCCTTGGCCGTTTTGCCCCTCTAGATCCGCCTGTACCAAGAATGTGATGAATACCTACTTCCTTCACATCAAGCCATTCTGCTACTTCAATGGAGTTTGACATCGGAGTCGATAGAGCCACGATACGGACTTTGGATGTCGAACGTGATGTGATCTTCATGCGAGTTACGATGGCCTCCAGCGCTGGTCCACAGTCAGAGGCTGGATCAAATATGAAATTTATAAAAAATTAATTTATGTATACATAATTAATTCATTATTGTCAATATATTAAGATTTGTCTCGTATACATTCAAAATAAAAACATATTTACATAAGCAACACAAATTGACAACGACATACTTGATAATGAATAACATAGGAGCATGTGTCCAATTACATTTTTAGTGGAAGAACTAAGGATATAAAGTGTTATTATTATCCTCGTCATCATCATCGTCATCGATCGTTTGACTGTATAACCAATATCATAATAATGTTATCATTATTGTCATAATTATCAACATAAACACAATCATCTTGAGATTCAAGATGAAGAATACTGCAAATAGTAGATTATAAGATAATGGTTAAAACAGGGAAGAGGAAAAACGACGCTAACTACAGTAGTAACCCCTTTCAAACATAATTGTCCATCTACACGGTTAGATTTTAGATGCTCGTTTATGACATAACAAAGTTGGTTCCACAATGCTGTGAAAGGTGGTCCAATGCCCCAGAACTCCGACTTCTAATAACAAAAATAATAAATGAATAAACAATTACAAAAATTAAAGGGGTGGGGTAGGTGTCCAATCGGTCCAGTCGCAACAAATTCTGACCAAAAAGAAATGGGAGGGTAGCACCTCCGTGGACAACCTCCCCCTCCCCCTGAATGATAACAGAAGATTATTAATATTAATACCTAGAAATTGAAGTTGGTCCAGGACGAGAAGCGAAACATCCTCGGTATTTTGCCCTCGACGACAAACAGCATCCCACTTTTCTGATGTCGCCAGGATGATGTCAGCTCTCTTTACTGTGTTGACGTCAGAACTGACGTCACCATTCAACATGAAGACCCTTGAAATGGTTAAGATATCGGAAGAATTATTTAGTCTTTTCTTATATATCGATGAAATATATCGTCAAAATTCAAACAAGTAACCGATCCGCCCTTGTACTATATTCTTCTCTTTCTGCCTATTTGTCTATCTCTGTCTGTCTCTGTCCTGTTCTCTCTATTTTATCTATCTATTCGTTGTTCCATTCTAAGCTTCATTACTTTCCCTCAAGAAATTTCTTTGCTAAAATTAAGTATGCAATAAATGGTTTTCATGGAATTAGTATAGGATTCAACATTGAAATAATGCATGAAACAATGTTTAGAACTCCGCAGAAAACATTTTCAAGAAACCAATCTGGAACTTACTTCTTCCCAAGAATATCGCCAAATCGGGCTCTCCAGTCTCTAAAGCGTCGACGGAGTAGAGATCTTAGAGGTGCTATGTAGACAACCTACAGAAATAGAAATGAGAAAAAGGGGTAGGTCTACATGATTGTATATCCTATTAATGCGCATACTGCAAATTATGCTCACAGTATTCTAGTATCCTGCACGCATTTCTATGTAGGTCTACGAAGAGTCTGTCCACTTTGACAAGTATCGATGAAACTGAAAGAAATGCAACTGTCAAGCGATGAAACAATAAGCAGATGTATTTTGATTTTGATTTCCTTAGATCTGGATAATATTATGATTGTGTAGATGAGTTGAATCGTTAAAGAAAAGACCCCATTCATTGTTTCAACTTTTAAACTAAGGATAAACGTCTGAAGCAGATACCCTATTTCACAACAACAATGCACACAATTTCTCTCCATCATGTTCGTTAGTTGTATTGTACACTTTGCTCTTTAAAGCCCCCCTACTTCTAAAAATCGAGCAGCCCTCATTGAAGAATCATTCAACAGCCCCTAATAATATAATATTTAATATTGAAACGGTCATCAACTCTATACAAATCCATTAATGATAACCGTAAGTACCATCAATATTCAGGCCTATGTTATAGAATACAATGTTCGAAGGGTTATATTTGTGCTTTCATCGTTATACCTTGGTGTCTGGTCTTGCTCTGAAGGCTCCCAAGATGGCTAGCTCGGTGGCTACACTCTTACCCATCCCTCCTGGTGCACCGATCAGTACATTGCTATCTGTCTCCGTGTATAGCTTGTTGAAGACGACCTTCTGTATGTCATCCAGGACGATTAGAAAAAGGAGAGAAATGTATTGATCAGTGACACGAGCGTTATACCAAGTCTCTCCTTACTATCCCTCAAATAAATACGAGGTTCTATGGGTCATGCTCTTTCCAGGTTATATCAGCAGAGCTTTGGAAGAAATTGCCAGAGTATAAACAACAGCATTGTGATACGTTGACACGTTTTAAAACGTTTCCTTTAAAGTGCGTGTATGTATGCGCGTGTGTTTGTGTTTGTGTGTGTGGTTGTGTTTTTTTTGTTACAGCCGTGTATTAATCAGAGACAATTATTCACATCTGGGGACCGACCTTTAAAGTCACCATTCGAAAGGCGAGACTCCCGTCTCGAACCGGGGTCCGCTGAGTTGACCTTACCACGGACATTACCGCTAGACCAACTATACATCTCCATAACTGAAGAGGATGGATTTCTTTTCTTATAAATGGTGATAGGCTATCTAAGGTAGACGTAGAACTGGGGCTCATTTAACAAAGCCTTTTTTCAATGACAAATGACAAAAATCAGTGACAAATCTGTTGATAACCAATCAGAAGCAAGGATTTTTTCAGTAGCTTGTAACAACAACTGTCATTTGTCACTGATGACAAGTTGTGTGAAACGCCCTGCTGGTATGACGGTGTGATCATAAGGACCAGTTTGGAGTTACCACAAAATGACCTCCAAATATCCACAGACATTTCAAACATAGAGCCGTTTAACTTTGTGCATTTTAGAATAATCACGGCCAAAGTGATGGAGATGCTTCATGGATACCTTTATGTGCCCTCTTGAAATAATACTTCCACATGTGTAGAGTGTGTAATGTGTACCATCGGAGTACAAATGAATAATGATTATACAACCTTCATGAACATTCATCTCTAGCAATCGGCTCGATGGTCTTTTCAGTTTGTATAAAAGAAATTTGCCAAAGCCATATAATAACTTCGAACTAATTTATTGTGACTACACTTCGCTGACCATGGATATCTACATAAACTTCCATAAGATGTTGAAATTCTGGGAACGTTAATAAAAAATAAGTTATCTAAAATCGACCTGGGAGGAAATTTTCTATGGAATTGGGTGAGATAGAATATTGGATCAATAACTTTGGCGCGTTTTTGCGTTCGTTAGATATTGACTCATTCAGACACGGGTTTAGAAATCTTAATTTCTAGGCAAGATGTCACGAAGGGTGTGAATAAAAGATGAAAACCTACTTATTGTATATTTAATAATAATAATAATAATATTTAATTTTTATATAGCGCTTAATAAAAATATCTCTAAGCGCTTTACAAATATATGTTTTGTCTTGCAAGCGATGAAATACATGTACCTTACCTTTGATGGATCGCTGTTTTGGGCTAGAAGAATTTATTGTGTTAACCCACGTCTATGGCTAAGTTGGAGCATTCGATGTTTTAAAGATCAGATGGCAAGATCTCTGGGATTCTTTTTCGAATAATTCTTATTTGTACCCGTTGGATTGTCTTCCATGATGTTTCCCGTTTACTATAAATTGGTCTGAATAAATGTTTGTGTGTGAAGGTTTTAAACAATTTTGGAATGAATATCACAATCCTAAAAGCTTTATCATGTTCATAGTGTTTGGATACCTCATTTTAAAACGGATTTGCTGATATTAACATTATTTTTTATACGATTTTTGTACCTGGAAACGGTTGAATTCATCAAATGAAAACATCTGCTGATACTGAAGATTCTGGAGAGCAGTCTTGGGCAAAGTCTGGGGTATCTCTCCTGGTTTCAAACAACGAAACGCTGTATGAGAAAATAGAGAGAGGTAGAGAGAGAGAGAGAGAGATAGATAGAAACAGAGACAATATATATATATATATATATATATATATAGAGAGAGAGAGAGAGAGAGAGAGAGAGAGAGAGGGAGAGAGATAGAAACAGAGACAATAGAGAGAGAGAGAGAGAGAGAAACAGAGAAAAGAGAGAGAGAGAGAGAGAGAGAGAGAGAGAGAGAGGGGGGGGAGGAAGAGAGAGAGAGAGAAAGAGAGAGAGAGAGAGAGGTAGAGACGGAGGTGGAGTATGAGAGAGATAACGATCAACAGAAATTAGGAGAGCATTTTAAAGAGAAAGAGAAATACAGAAAATAACAAAAAATTGCCAAACATAACGGTACATAGTCGAAAAGAGAGCGAGAGAGAAAAACTTTTAAAGACCCTAGTGCCCAGTGACACGTGAAAACAATATTATGAATAGGGGATCATTGGGCAGAAAAATAAATTCCTCTTCATTATGAAATAGATTTTTAATTCATATTGGTTATGAATTTTTAATTAGAAGGTACCAAAGTTGGGTACACTTTTTCTGATAGCACTGTATAGCAAACTGGCAGTTAATCACAGTTACCTGTCTAGGGATACTTTTTTGTTAAAAAACAGGAGCCTTGATGATGAGTTACCCCACAATTTTCGGAGAAAAAAAAAATCACAACAGAAAACACAAATTAGACTGGCAGTGGCGATTACCATTGTACTTGGCATGTGATTGGCCTGGTAGAACAACGTCTGTGATTGGTAGAGGGCAATTGGTCTCCGCTCCCAACCAAGAATCCGATACAGCCTTCACGTTGCATTCGGCGGGGAGCTTTCCCGATGCGTCTACGGGTATGGTGATGATCAATTCTTGTTCTTCGCGGGTCTGGACCTATACCACAAGGTTTTGAAATTTGTTAATGGGGAATATATGATATTAAGTTTGTTTATAAGTAAAAATAGAAAAATAAAACTCTTATTGCGTTTCATATACATTTTGCCCTGTTTAATATTGGAAACGAGTAAAAGTCGTCAAATTATTATTAATATAATCTACAAAAACATGTAGTTATCAGTTTTAAGGGAACAAAAAAAAAAGAAGCCTGAAATGATTCGGTTTGTAGGCCAATGAGCTGAATACGTGGCTATTTTGACTAAAGGCAAATATCTTTAACATACCCATAGGCAACAGTGGATAGAAAACGAAAGAAGAAGAAGAAAAAATGGAGAGAGATTTAGAGAAAGAGAAAGAGTACAATAGAGAGAGAGAGAGAGATAGAAAGGTTTTCATATCTTACTGACCAGTGTGTTTCAATTCAAGCAAGAAAACGGCTGTGTAGGTAAAGTTAAGTCCCATAACCCAACCCCCTGCCAATGTGCCCCCCCAGTCCGCCCTCGATATACCTAAGCCAGAACTATAACTCAACCTGTTGCTTCGAGATGCTGAAAAACTCGTGATGGTACATGACATCCGCGGATGAATTCTCAACCCATATCCACCAGTTAGTCGTTCTATAGCCGTTTAACCGGTCGTTCCATGTGAAATCGGGCGTGATCTTCAGACGGATCCTTAGGAGGGTTTTCGAAAGCGGATGGACCGTAGCGTCTAGGAGGAGACGAGGGAATTGCTCCGCTGCCTGCTTGATTCGTTTCCCGATGGCGATGCGGTCCGTTTTGGTGACTTCTCTTTCGAACTCGTGAACGATGTCGCCTACATTAAATAAAAGAGAAAATAATGATATTTACAATATACCAGATTTGTAAGGCGCCAAAGTCACTTGAAATCAAATGCTCAAGTCGCATTTGTGAAATAAAAAAAGAAGGCAAAAGAGATCACATAAAAGCATCTGCTGCTACACAAAGAAACAGGAGTATTAAAGATGGATTGATTCAGCTGAAATCGTTTGGAATCGATCCAGACTACCCCCCCCCCCCCGGAAGAAAAAAAATCATATTTAATAAAATAACCAGAACAAGTATCGAAATATAGGTTTTGCATTTTTCATGAAGGAGTCTCCATAGCCTCTCCATATCCATTACAACAAAAAAGATTTCCATTTGCCTGACACAAAAATCGCCACATTCCTGTTCTTTCTTCTCATCTTAATTATCATTATGTTTAAACAATATCTATTGCCATTTATAAAGCCCACCTATTTCTTCTGGAGTCATGGTCTGCAGTCGACTGTCATCAAAGTTATCCCCTGCAACATTGAGAAGTCTATTGCAGTCGCGAGATTGGAGCTGTCGTAGAGGATTCTTCGAAGACCACATTCGCTGATCAACGGACTTGGTCAGGGAGAGAACGTTGGACGCTAGTTGAGGGCGTCCTTCTTGGAGGGCTATTTCAAACAAAGCTCGCATGATCCGGGCGGAGTTCTGAGGAAAGAATGCGATATTTGGAGAAAAAAAAGAGAGAGGGGGAAACAGACGGTGAAAAAGGAGAGTAGAGAGAGTGGGGGATAGAAAGAGAGAGAGAGAGAGAGAGAGAGAGGGGGGGGGGGGGGGGGGGGTATTGAGGCTATGTTAAAAAGTAATTTTGTGAAATGGATGTTACATACAGAGATTTTATATCACTACTCTTATTTTGTTTTGTAAACCCCCGTGTAAACTTCAGCGGTACCCCTTTGTAAACATTCATGGGAGAGGTTTGAGTCTTAATGATTTTACATGATCAATCACACTTTTAACTCATATTTATTTCCTCTAATATCAATGGATTCAATTCCTAATTTAATATTCAGTCACTTTATCAAACGGTCGTACCTGTGCGACATAGTTGGTATCAGACACCAGAGAGAAGCAGGTCAAGGTGCCGCCCGTGATGTAAGTCTGCAAAAGGACATTGACCTTGCCAGATGACTCTTTGACCTTGGGCACGTCAACCTCACAGTGATATTTCCGATGTTCTTCAAGTTCTGCTTCTTCTTCCTTCCGAACCTAATTGAGAAAAAAATTGTTTGATAGTTTCTAAGATATGAAATAATAGTGGGTTCTTGAATATTGCTGTTTGTCAGATTTGACACTCCTGGCGCTCAACAATAAGAACCCGACTTTAGCGTGGTTCTCATTATGGCGCTCTATCATTCCCAGGAATTAATTCCTACTAGGTATGCCCGCTTATCTCACCTGGGTCGAGTGTAGCATACGTAGATTAATGTCTTAATATTTCAGCGTTTTGTAATTGATAATAATTATTACTTTGAATGTTTCCAAGCATTGCAATTATGTTCATTCTTTTTTGGATATCGTCTGCTTGAGCAAATCATGCCCAACCTGTGACGTCACTCATCTCAGCAGCGTTCGAAGAGCTCTTAATTCATGTGCTATGCCGGGGCTGTATTTAAGCGTTTTGTAATTGATAATGATGTTTCCAAGCATTGTATTTTAATAAAATTGTACAATCAAAGTTTCACCTTTGCAATAATGAAAATAAAGCTAGTTTTAAAAATCTTCGCACAGCTACTTTGATGTTTGATATGTTTGAGAGTTTGGCTTTAAATACGTATATACATCGAATGTCTAAAAAACAAATGAAACACGAATAGTATGTAATGCGTCACATAAGCCGACAGAACAATGTAGTCTGCAAGCACATACTCTAATTCAGGCGCGTACGCAGGATTTTTTCAAGGGGGGGGGGGGTTTAACATTTATAAATCGGGCCGTCCGCTGTATAAGCGGGGGGGGGGGGGGGGGGGGGGGGGGGGGGGGGGTAAGAGGATACTTTTTTTTTTGTCTCGAAATTTGAAAATTTGACATTTTGCTCCGTTGGGGGGGGGGGGGTAAGGTCAGCTTTTTTAGGTCAACCATGGGATTTTTTTTTTTTTTTTTTAAATTTTTTTAAATAAAAAAATAATAAAAAAAAATAAAAAAAAATCCAAAAAGGGGGGGGGGGGGTTTAGAGAAATTTAGGGGGGGGGGGTTTACACACAAACAATTACCAAAGGGGGGGGGGGGGTTTAACCCCCCAACCCCCCCCCCCCCCCCCCCCCTGTGTACGCGCCTGCTCTAATTTGACACTAACCACAATTCCCAAAGCCTTCAGCTAAAGTATATAGCATATTGTAGTATCACACTGCAGACACTGTTACACATAACGACTGAACCCATTTTATTCTGGCAAACTAAAACCAATGTGTCACTGCTTTTTTTTGGGGGGGGGGAGGGGGGGGGGGGGGAGGTGCAACTGCCGCAATACCCTTCCCTTGGTCCCACTCCATATAACACACCTTAACTTGTTTGAACTCAGCCGCTTTCGATACCAACGTTAATATCTCTTCCCTGCTTTGACACGCTTTTATGGCGGCGTTGAATTGCAGAATAGTGGCTTGCTTGATGTAGAAATGGCTTGCGATTCGGCCGATCTCGGTGTAGTCCAGCGCTCCGGTGTCGTTGTCGTACTCAACCATCTTCGCACTCTGCAGAGCACGGGCTGACGCCTTCACGATATGTTCACGATATTTCTTCAGATTAGGGTCACCCTGTTAGAAGGGATAAAATTGGGTAGAGAACATTTTTTTTTTAAAGAAAAATAGTTCAGGACTAAGGTGCTGACCCTCTGGAGGAAGAATGATAGTATTCAAGGAAAGAAGAAATCAAAGTGACTTTCAGGCTACTGAATATGTCACAAAATTACCTTACTAATTATTGTTCATATAAATGGAGATGGGGGAGAAAGGGAAGGAGGAGAAGTAACGGCAGAAATAGCGAGATAGAGTTAGAGAGAGAGAGAGAGAAAGGAAAGCTAGAATATGATCGAAGAAGGTAGTGAGCACTAATTTGAAAATCGCGCCGGTCGATATTTCGCTCAGTGGGGGAGGGGGGGGGGGGAGAAGGGGGCATAGTGGCATAGGCAAAAAAAGAATTGATCACAATTTTTTGTTTAACCCTTTTTTTTGCCAGGGAAGGGGGGGCCCGTCTTTTTCCCCTTTTTGGCCAGGGGGGGGGGGGGGAAGGCCCGCATGGCCCCCCGGATCCGCGCATGTCTACTAATTGTACTACTACTACCACTACTACTGCTACTACTACTACTTCTACTTCTACTATCACTACTAGTTATACCAATACATCATGATCACGTACCAAGATACCACCAATTAATATTTTGTCTTCTTGGCACAGCTTTCTCACGTGCATGTAGGTGTAGCTCAGCCAGCGAATGGCTTCCTCCACGTTACTCACAGTTCCAAGAACAATCTACAGGATATTGAAGAAAAGGGTGGTGGCACAATAATTACCAACATTTCTCATTAGCAGTGAAAAACATTAGCTAGGTCTATCCGGTTTTTAGCATTATTTCCATAGTTAAGGTTAAAGGTAGGGGGCTACTTTTTTTTATTTATTTTTTTTAAAGCCAGGTAGGGCTTTAATAAGGGGCCGGTTGTATCCACCCATCCCCACCAAAAAAAGTCTTAATTTTATTCCATTGTTTATGACTCCGACTACTTCAAGTGCAGGTACGTAGCCACGTGGGGGGGGGGGGGGTGGTGGTGGGGACACGTGCCCCCAATTTTTTTCTTCCAAGATCGGTTGAACTTTTTTAGACCCTTTTTTTTTTACCTCTATCGATTACATGTATGTGCCCCCCAGACATCAAACTCTGGCTACGTGCCTGTTCAAGTGACGGACGAACGATAAAACAAAAAATTGCTATTGGTTATCATTGCAATAAAACACTTATAATATGATAACACTCAAGTTCTTTGCGATAATTGATGAATTATTAGGAATGATTACCACATGACTTTGTATAATTTTTTTAATTTTATTTCATTATTTGTGACTATTAATACTTCCAGTGTCGGACAAATGGCCGACTGGAAATAGGGGCTTTTAGATTCGCACGAAGACAATGGGGATTGCTACGGTCGACGTCTTTTTAATGCACTACTTTGAATGGACGTTACACGTATCAGTCCACGCAAATCTAAAAGTCCCTATTTTCAGGTATTGTAAGACTTTATGGTCCATTCATCCTAAAGAACACAATTTAGAAAAACACTCGTTTACCATCTACTCTAGATGTGGATTTATGGTCCATTCATCCTAAAGAACACAATTTAGAAAAACACTCGTTTACCATCTACTCTAGATGTGGAAAGATGGCTCATTCCATAGGGAAAGTTCTTTATTGACAACGTCTGTGTGACAATATTGTATTCATGGTATTACAATGTCTCAATGCTATATTGTTTGTAAATATAGATGGCAGCATCAGAAAACAATTTGAGTGAGCTTTGACCTATAATATACGTTCCTGATCGTACCCTGCATAACTAGTGTTAACGTGTGTTGATTCGCCGTCGGAATCATGTTTATTCCTACCTTATAAGTAGAGAGTACAACTATTCAACAGTCTGGCAGTTCAATACTAAGAAAAGTGAGCTTACTTTTTCATCTAGATTGATTATATGTTGATAGACTCAGCGGGAAAATTTGATGAGACTTACTTATCAGCAAAAACAAAAAAGGCAGTATGTAAATTAACTTCTATTTAGGAATAATATACAAGGGTATTTTTGTGATTTTATTACAGATGAATCCAGGATAAAGTCGTCCCGTTGGATTTGTATAGAACCTGCATTTGTCAGGATAATTGAAAGGTTTTATATAATGCTCGCTGATGCGGTTATCACATTTTAACTGTCCCGTATAAGGGGAGTTTCCATTGTCCCTATACAACGTCCACCTGAACAACGTTGTTTCCAAATTGAATCGAGCTATATGAAGGATATGTTAAGTATTGGCTGAGATAATTATGACCACCTGAATAAAACGATTTCCTATAGGAACTCAGTGTTATATGCTCTGGCTCCTAACGGTTATGAGCCGGATTTTGTAAAGTTGGATTTCTATCGTCCCCGAAAAAGGTAAAGAACCTGACTGTTGATCAAAAAATAAGGTGGTTGTTTTGACAGAAAAAAAAGCTATGCCTATATACCTCTGCATTCAGATTGTCATCGAGTCTCTTGATGAACTGACTCTCGATCGGGGTTTGGTCCATCATTAGTTTGAGATAGTGGACAAGTTTGTTTATAGCTGTGATGATGTACCCTTCTCCGAACGTATCGTACTGAGGGCGCCCTGCACGGCCGAAGATCTGCAGCACATCCAAGATGCCGATATCTTCAAACTTGGATTTGTCGGGGTCGTAGAACTGTGTGCCCTGCATGGGGATTGGGATATGAATTTAAAAAAAATCAATACTCTGGAATTTTTTAAAGACTACAATGTCCCTCGAAAATCATTTTCATCAGGGATGTCCATAAAAGAGTTGTGGGTTGTTAAAACATCCTTCCAAAGAACATTCTTTCTGAAAATAATTTTCTCTGAGGTATAACAAAATCTTTTTGGCAAATATAGTTAATTTAATATTTTGTTGTCGCTTGTTGGCAATAAAACGTGCATTTTTAGAATGTTGAAACATAACAAATTTTGAGGATTGCTTGCCGGTCACATGGATTGGTCTGCAACTTTATTCATACACTCTCGTGCAACGACTTTCTAAAACGTAAACGATGCCAGTCAATGGCAAGGCTAGTGGGAACATACGCCCTTAATCGAATCGATAAAATGGGAGGGGGATGAAAAGAATAGAAAGAAAGTGAGGAAGAGAGGGAATAGCAAAGTGAAAAGAGAAGGATACGACCCTCTCCCTAACTCTCGAAGGTTAGTGAGATCCCTACACTCGATTTGCATTTCATCTACCAAGTCAGACCGACGCCCCCTATTGGCTGGACACAACAAAGGCTACGCCGCTAATGCTCTGACCATACCTTGATGATGACGGCATGTGCAGGGAGGTTGACCCCCCATGCGAGGGTGGAGGTACAGCATAGAACCTTGATCAGTCCAGCGGCGAAGTAGCGTTCTACGAGGTTCCTGTCCTGCCGCAGCATGCCGGCATGGTGCATGCCAAAACCGACATCGAACAGTTCTTTCAACTGCCTGTTACGAGACTTCTGCACCTTTTGTTGGGAAATCAGAGAACGATTTCATATTTTAATTTGCTAGGAATAAGATTAAAGAAAAGGAGGGACGACAAACCATTTTCTTCCATTCCCATTTCCCCCGGCCTTAGGGCAATCAGGGGTTAGCATGATTCGGGTTAGGGTAAATTTTGTGATGGCTTGGTATTCTGCAGTTAAAGCTAATCTTGAGATCTGGTATGGGCATCGTTTGTCGAGAGAACATGGCTAGAATTCATTATAGATTGTTTATTCCATTCTGCAGTAGATTGTTTGAACCAGCAAAATAAAACTAACCTCACAAAAACCTGCTGGAAATCATCTTCTATGAAAATCACTACTCTCATTTGCACATAGTGAGTGACCTGTGTTAAACGGTGTCGGACCTACCTACCTTGATTTCCTTATCTTTCTATGCTCGTTACTCAGCCCCTATACATTTTCTACCAAAATCGTTTGGCACATGTCATGTATTTATAATCTTGAACATTCAGTGTAAGTTTTGTTGGATTCTGTGATATTTTTTTTTCTCTCATTACCAGAACTCAAGCTTATCTTTAAGGTCATGGTCATGGTTATTGGGTACGGTTAGGGTTGGCGTTCTGGTACGGCTGCATCTTGTTCGTTTTCACGAATCAATAAAGATACCTCTTCACGAGCAGCCTCGTATTCCTCATTCTCTTCCGCGCTGAACATCTTGCTTTCATTGTTGGCTATCGCTCTGTCGCGGAGGTCTATGGCGGATTTCACTGTGGCATTCCGAGCAAACACGAACACCATGACCTGTAGGTGAGAGTACAGAGGTAAAATTCACATTCATAAAGTCTTATTAAGATAAATTATACTAACATGATCTCTATTGTGGCAACCAATAACGACAACTTTAGAAATTGCTATCAAACCCAATTCGGTTCTGCCCATTTGCAGAGCAAGAGGGCATGAACATGGTATATTAAGAGCCGAACATATATTTGTATCTCCTACGGACCAAGAATTATACTTATTCTTGTATATGTGCGTGTGCGTGTGTGCGTGCGTCCGTGTGTGGGTGTGTGTGAGCGCTCTGATTTCATTCAATAATATTGTGTGTTTTTCGGTTGTAAATAATGACGGTACGACGGTTAGAGCTATTTGAAGCATACAAGTTAAACCCGAAAACAGAATTGACAGCTTTATTTTGGGGGTTAAATTTTCCGGACACCGCCCCCTCCTCCAGAATCATAATTCTAATCACATGCAAAAATTCTAATCACCTGGTGACCCTGGTCGACGAGGTTACGAACTTTCTCGTAGCAGACGACGTCCATTCGCTTGCGCTGTTCGACAAACCTCGAGCCGCCCCCGCCCGAGCCTAGCTGCACCCCAATGTACGTCTGTCGAAGGGGCACGGGTCTGAACCGGGCGTCGAAGTAGAAGAGTCCCGTCTTTAGATTGACGTGAAGGAACCGTGCCACGTCCTCGTAGTTAGGCAAGGTGGCAGAGAGTCCAACGATTCGGACGTTGTTCTGGTAGGATTCCACCTAGAAAGCAAGCAAAATTTGAATACCATAAGAATAACGAAGGGGGGGGGGGGGGTAACAAAGACGATTCATCTGTAGAGAGCCAGGAAGGCGTTATAGCTGTATTTGAGTTAACACTCTTCTGAATCGATCATCATATGATGTTTGTTCTTTAAGGGCATCAGCCAAAAAAAAAAAAGGGGGGGGGGTTGAAAGAAAATAGCCCTATACCCGTACATGCCTAACGCTGTTTGTGCTTCAAATTTAGCGAGTTTTACATTTCATTGATTATACAACTTTCATTACAATATATAACGGGGGGGGGGGGGGTGTATTTTTGGTTAATGGAAAACTCTTTGTTTACTCTTCAACTACATTACATTTTTTAATGTGTCGTATGAACAGAGTAAAGACATCCATAATACTCATATAAATTCAATGGTTTCACAAAGTTCGATTATGATCATCGTCACGGCGCGGCGTACCTACGCCTCCGGTAAATGTCGCCTTATCGAATGAGGTAAAAAAAAAAAAAAAAAAAAAAGAGAGGATAAAGAAGACAATGGAGAGGGAGATAGGACAATCACGAAAGTAACGAAAGAGGGACCTTCTCCGCACTCTGCCCCTATAACCAGTGGATTTGTCAATTTTTAAGCCTATTCCATTATACAAGTAAGATCAGTCCCCCATAATACCAGTGCTTTCTCAACTATTTGACCCGCGCTATACCACTGGTTCTGTCAGTCACCTGTCTGAGTGTTCTTGCGACCAGGCTTTCGATGACCGCACCACGGTCTTCGTGTAGGAGATGAACCTCGTCGATGATGAGGAGTTTGACGAGCTGTGTAAGGGCAACGTCGCCGACACTCTTCCTCGTAACCACGTCCCATTTCTCAGGCGTTGTCACTAGCATCTGAGGACAAGGACATAAGGGTAATGTAAACATAGTAACAAATCTTATACCTACAACAGGGGTGTTCCGACATAATTATCCGGTGACAATGCTCCAGGATTTGGTTGAGATTGGGTGCCCCCCAAAGGAACTCCTACAAGACCATATGTATGATAAACTAGAAATTTGAATCATTGTTTCTCGAAAACGTCATAAGTATGAGTTCACTGACATCCTGGTGAAAAGGGTGTTCATTTTAATACAGGTTGGTGAACTTGTTCATGAGACGCTGCTCTGATCTATACTTACATGAGTGTCCATCATCTCCTTCTTGGTGAGCTGCATGTCCCCTGTAAGCTCCCGTACCGAGAGACCTAGAGGCTTTAGACGTGACCCGAAGGTACGGGTCATCTCCGCTGCAAGTGCCTTCATAGGAGCTACGTAGACCACCTTTATTAGGATTGCCACAGAAAGATTTTAGTTATCTTTAAAAGGCTTGTACACATTATGCCACGCTATAACCTACAACGGACTATACCGCGGCATACATGACCTATCCTTAGTTCCTCATTCGTTATGGATCAAAACACCACACTGCAAAATTAGTTGGAATATATGGTACATAGTTATGCACTATACGTGACGAAATTCAACTGTGGCAGTCCAATATTTCTTTATAAGTCAACCAAAGCCGTTAAAGAATTAATCATTCTATAAACAAAAAGAAATCATTATACAGAACTATTGATATTTTGTTTGGGTCACTTTGGCTGAGGTTATTATTAATGAAGATACAAATTGTGTATAAAACGCAAGAAATAAGAAGTTCCGTTATTAAATAGCACCATTTGTTTATGCTTCAGAAACACCGCCAAACTGATTCCACATCGACTCTTTACCAACTCCTTGTAACAACATTTTTGGCCTCTCGGCCAGGGTAATTTTTGTTTCTGTTTTGTGTGTTCTGTTTGTTGTCGGTCTGGTGTCAGTCTCGGTGGTGTGACTGCGGTATGAACCTCTAAATGATCTATGGTTCTACTGGGATGTCCCGGATACCAGGACCCTGTTTCATAAAACTTTATATTATAACAATTGCTAAAATTCTATAAGAAATTAGCTCTCAGCCAATGAGATGCCACGATTTCAGTAGCTTATAACAGTTATTGTAACTTGTTATTGATAACAAGTTTAATGAAACAGGGCCCAGGGCACGCACTTGATGATTCCTCTATGAAGGTAACTTACTCACCTTAAATTCATTGTGCTTGACAGCCCCTCGTGCATCCAGATGCTTCCGAACCTCCTGCAGGATGGCCAGCATAGCGATGTTGGTCTTACCTGCACCGGTAGGAGCGCAGATCAGAAGGTTCTCACTCTTGTTGTAGGCGGTCTCAAAGACCACCGACTGAATACGGTTCAGGGTCTTAATTCCTTTAAACGCAAGTTGTCCAACCTGAGAAAAGATAAGACAAACGAAAGAAAATTGAGGAAAGGGATGAATATGCATCATTATTGTTCTAGGAGTGTTGTGAGAAAGTTTCAAAGACCACCAATTGGCTGATATTATGCCATGAACTCAGTCAGTAATATAGTAAAGCTCCACCAGACTTGGCGGCATTACCATTTAATTTATTTAAAAATCTCTCGCCTCAGCTTGCCTCCAGAACGATCGAGTGAATGAGATGATGAGATTTTCATACGAGGCGATGTTTATGGAGATGGTGGAGGATGTGCGCATTACAAAAGACACGTTGGTAGACTCTCACTGACTACATGATGACACCCCTTATCTGGTTAATAATCGCATGGAACCATTGGAACCTACTAAGCGTTCGGTTGAGGGAAATTTAAGAAGAAAGTGGAGGATGCACGCATTACGTAAGGCCTGTAGGTTCACTCATCACGCTCATGTTTATTGATAACACTAACATTTTTTTCTCTTTAAAAAAACCCCAAAACACACAATTTTCATTTAAGAATAAAGATAGACTCACCGGATCAAGGCTTGATATTTTAACTAGCTCCTCCCCAACACCGGGAGGGGCATGGTCTTCTGGAGGGACAGTGACTTCTTCGTACGTGGTTTTGGCTACATGCGTGCTACCTCGTGGCACGGTTATCTATGCAGGAAGAACATCATAGAACTATGATAATAATTGCAATAACAATGGAAATGATAATTATGATAATAATAATGATCAAAACTAATAATAATAAACATAGCTAATAGTAATAAACAATAAAAATGATAGGCCTCACAGTAATAACAGTGATGATGATGATATAGTAGTAACAGCATTACAACAACTACACCGACAACAATGACAGTTATTTGATATTTGAGGATTGTTGTTTTACCTGATTTCTAAGAAAGCACGATATGCTTCCCCCCCCCCCACTCCGGGGTCGGAGGGACCGCATGCGTGTTCCCAAAAAGTCCGGTAAAGGGGTACTTTTCACCCACCAAAGTCCGGCTCGTAGTACACAAAAATTTAGCCCGTATTGACTTTACACACCGGACTTAGGGGGGGGGGGGTGTGTTTCTTAAAAGGAGGGAACATGCATACGCGTACCCTAAATAACACTGAGTGGGGGGGGGGGGGGTATGCTTGTAAGTAAAAAAAAACGGGGGACAGACGGATTTAAGTCCTTTCTGAGGGACTTGGTAGTGAGGATTAATGCCTTACCAAATGACACGAGCGCATTGATCTGGTTTCGAACCCGAGACCTTCCAGTACGTTACAAGACCCCTGCTCTACCACTGAGGTATTGCGTCTCCTAAATATTTATAACAACAGCAATCCTAATAATGATACTGTCTACTACTACTTCTACTACTACTACTAGTAATAGTAGTAGTAGTAGTAGTAGTAGTAGTAATAATAGTAATGAAAATAATTACCGCCTGAATCCAATTAAATGCTTCTAAGCGCTGTACTATATATATATATATATATATATATTATACCGCGGCTATAGCAGAGCTATCCGAATAATTAAGGCAATCTGGCATCCAAAGATTTTTTTCCTAACGGGTACATGGGCTGGTTAGATTTAGATTAGCTAGTGCCTTGACATGTTCTTTTGTTTATAATGCAGATGCTTTTATGGGAATTCATTTTTTGTTGTTGCTCAAGACAAGTGGGTCTTGAGCATTTTATTTCAAGTGAATTTTGCGCCTTACGAATTGTATATACTATTATTATCATTATTATTACATTATTATTATTATTATCTTCTCTCAACAACCGACACATGTTTACTTATAATTCACAAATCTAAACTCTCAGCAGCTAAAAAAAACATTTTGCAGTAGCTGCGTCAAAGACTTGGAACATTACCCCCTATTATTCTTCTTCTTATTAATATTATTACTATAATTATTGTTGTTTTTCATTATTACTATTATTAGTAATATTATTCGGCCTATCATTATTGTTATGGTAATCATTACTATTATCATTACTATTATTACTATTATTTTATTATTACTTTACTATTATTATTCCTGGATCGTAGAAGTAACATTTGATTACCCGTTCTCCTGCTACATGCATTGTTGTAAGGGAAGCATCAGGGGGTTGATCATAGACGTGGTCTTCTACGTCGACCTCTAATATGTTATCCAGAAGGCCATTCATGTCGAAAGCACCGCTGCATAAATAAAAAAAGACAACATAAATCTATATGAATGTTAGATCATGTTTAACTGGATATTGGACTTCAAAGGTACATAATCTGCCTATCTGATATATATTGCGAGCTCTTATTTAATTTGGTCTGAACATAAACTTTCATTTTCTTTGTTAATGATGACGAAATAGCTTTTATTCCATATAGGGGTTGAATATTTGCAATAATTTTATTTAGGGTGCATGTACAATTGAATACTTTTCTTTAGGGAATTTTTTGTTGTTTTTTATTTCATTAGATGAAAGAGCAAATAGGAGGAGAGCTCGCAAGATACGTCACCGAGTTGCCAATATTGTCTTTGATTGATCGCAACTTCAAAAATTCATAACTTTCCTATTTTTAATCGGAATTGGCTCAAATTTTTACTGACCTGTTCCTCTCATTTGTCTGCCTCTATCAAAACCAACTTAATATCAGGGTTGATTTTCCCTTTAACAGGATGAATGTAAGAATGTTGAAAGTCATGCATTATACGTTTGATTCTGCACGCCCTCCTGCTCCCCCCCCCAAAAAAAGGAGAGAAATCGTCGGACAGCGTACTTAGTATTATCGAATTTCTTTGAACCGTTTAAAGACAACTGCATCCGAGAAATTATAGTGGATCCCCCCTCCCTGCAACGCTCTGAGCAGGACAACCTCAATGATTAAGACAATGACCTCTCAACAACTTATCCCACGAACTAACAAAAACATTTCACTCTATATGAAATGTTTCTCCTATGGGGCTAGAGCTCACGAGACCAACAATGACGGCCAAGTAGACGAACATGCCGGCCTCATAATGGGCTGTCGATCTACTGTGATGTACCATCCCGTAGTTGGGTAGTTGTCTGTGGGTAATTTTTCTTAGAATTAATTGTCCGGGGCGCACATGTTCGGGGTATTATAGTCCGGACAAGCCTCCTCAACCTACATCTCATCAATTTGAAGACACTGGAGATCGAATTCCATCTCTTTCGAGTCATCATCACCATCGTTTTCATACGTCTCTTCCATGAGGGCTCCGAACAGCTCTTCGTCATCGTCAATGACTTCGCCATCATCAGCGCGAGACCGTCTTGCCAAATGGTCATCAGGCAAATCGGTGTCCTCTTCATACTCGGCATCGTCGTACGGATAAAACCCATCCTAGAAGACAAAGTCGAGAGGTTTTTAAAAATGAATACATATATCTGTACTAGAAGAGAATTGTACTTTGGGAGATGAAAGGTCAAATCACAATGCCCTTAATTTACAAGCCTAACCCATTGGCGGAAATCGCTCTTAAACCTGGGGGGGGGGGGGGTGCAAAACATTCTCCGAAACGCAAGAAAAAAACGGGGGGGGGGGAAACAAGCATCCAAAATTATTTTAAGATACATCAGGATGCTGTATACCACCCCAAAATATACTCACAATTCGGTTTTGAGTTTTTTATTTGGAATTAAAAAGACGAAGAAATCGTGGGGGTATGCGCATACCCCGGGGGCACCCACGATTAGCAACATTATTACATATTGCACATAATTATATGCTTTTTAGAGTATTATGCTAATTAGGCTAGTTATACTACATATACATGGAATATCTTCTCATGAATTAATGATTAATCTTTCGAAAATGAATTACAATGTTGCATTGCACCATTTTTAGGCTTTATAGATAAACAATGACAATGAAGTCGATATATTGTACATATTATGCTAATTATGCTATTTAAGATTATTGTATTACTTAAAAAAAAAAAATTGGTGTCATAAATGAATTCCTTGTCATATAAAACCTTTGAAAAGTCGTATTATCCATGTTTTCAGGCCTCCTGGATTGAGATTAGCAACATTATTACATATTGCACATATGCTAATTAGATGATTATGCTAATATGGCTATTAAAAAAGTTGCCCAAGGTTGCCAAGCTGGCAACCAAGCCGAATTTACTTCAATACCCATCTAGAACACAAATCAACAAAAAACCTTGTACTTATCAACTTTTCCAGGTCATGTACATGGTATATGGTACCGTCTACTGGACTACTATGATGATACATACTAACGCCAAGTTTGAGCCTAGGAGCTCTAGTGGTTCTTGAGATATCTGGATAACAAATAGGCTATATTATATATATATTGACTGCTATGAGAGGCATCGCTGTTTCTATAGACTCAAGGTGACGTCACATCCTGCTATGACCCTGAGATGCGCCGGAGCGTCACCGAGAGCTGGTATAGAAACAGCTATAATGCTTCGAATATTAAAGCAGTCTATATATCTTTTATATACCGAATTCACAAACAAGCCTACAAAGAAATCTTACCTTATGCTTTTCTTAAGTAAAGATCACCCCCCCCCCCCTCCGGGGGGGGGGGGGGGGGAGTGGTTACAGAGTAAAAAACAAAACATAATTCTAGAAGTATTATATACAAACGTCATGTAAGAAGGTGAAATCCTATTGTGCACAATCTCGGTTTCCTCACACTGACAACAAGTTAAGAATACAATATAAAGATAAAGAAGGAAATAATATTGCCTTACCATGGTGCCTCCTTGGCTCCTTAGCCTTAGACAAAAATATTGCCAAAATTTGAAATCTGCTTCACCCGTTTTTTTGCTGCTTCAACCGAACCGGGCGTAGAATTCTGATTTAGCACAGAACAAAATGACAAACAAGAAAAATATATCAGGTATAGTGGGGATTTCCACCCTCATATGATTATTTCTGTAGTCTCTCCTATTAGAATCTTTGAATATTTTTGTATGCTGGATAATACTTATGAGCATCCCTTCGTTATCATGTCCATGCACAATGTATGTACATACTTGGGATCGAAGATTGTCTTATCATTTAACTTAGAATGGATATGTGTTATTTCTAGTTTTGTTTCTGATTGTGTTGTGTTATGTAATGGGCTGCAGTTGCCAGTGCATAGGTTATATTTGTATACTAGATTGCGCGAAATGCATTTAAGATCAACAGCATTTTTTGATGATAATGATGATAATGAATATAATATGATTATTATCATGACCATTGATATTATCATTATTATCATCATCATTATCACCATTATTATTATTATTATTGTCGTTATTGTTATTATTAACGTTATTATTAGTAACCTTATCATCATTATCATCATTATCATAAGGCCTATTGTTGTTGTTGTTTTCATTGAATTGTTCAGCGATTATATTCGAAAAGGACTTGGCAGTAAGTATAATAATTTAGATAACCTGACTTTAATATCGCAAAATATCAAAATGTGCCTGTCTTGTTTAAACTAAAAAGTACATTTTACTTTACTAAAGATGCAGCTTCAAATGAATGGTTGGGCTTTTTCGAAAACAATTTGCCTGATTTTCACTTTACTCATTAACAAAAAAGTAGGGGCCTACGATTTTTTTCCAGACAAACTTCCCCCCTCATTTTACGCGGGAGAGTTGTTCATATAATGTTCATGCATTTTCATTAGGCCGTCTTCAACAAGAAACCTTCCCATATTATTTAAGGTCTGCTAAGTAAGACTATATGACCGGGGAATCCCAACCATAAGTATTGCACATCATCGTAAACACATTGAGACATTCAAAGCTATGCGATGTGTTGGCGCCTTCTGTATTGCGCATTGCTGTCTGAACACGAAGACACCAGATGATTATTGCGCAATCGCTGTTCTAAGGAATCAGGCGCCAGCAGGAAAATTACGAAATGTGCGGGGGTAAAACAAAAATAATAACAATGATAAAAGAATTTCAGTAGGCTAATGTATGGAGCTTATCTAACACAAAGATCATTTAGAAATCTTAATCGTCATAATTATAGGTCTTGTAATAAAGAGTCCATCCATGGATGTCAACAAAGCAGTCAATGAAAGAGACGATCTGCTCAAATACTATATAGAGAGAATGGGGGAGAATGTAGAACATCAAAGCAGAGGTGACAATCTAGACATACAGGCATGGTGACGAAGGGATTCACCAAGATCTCTCCCAACCTCTAGGGGGGGGGGGGGGGGGGGGGGGGATGGGCGGGCTTTCACAACTGTTATAGGAAGTATATTATAGTTTCGAGAATCGAAATAATAGGATGACTTATGAAGAAAAAAGTATAGAAAATGACAAGGCTCTCTTAATTCCCTGTTTAAAAATATGGATTTTCGTAATCTTCAATCTCTTGTGACACGCCCACCTTTTGCCGATAGTTAGCCTTGTACAAGGAATTTGTTTTTTCCTTCTCAGAACGACACTTATTAACATTTAACTAATATATGTAGACACATGAAGCAAATATCTACATTATTTAATATTCTAAGATATACATCTTGGATTTAAAATATATTCTTCATAAATCAGCTCAATGAAATCGATTATTGGTGCAAGGTAGCCAGGTTCAGCTCTTGATTAGAGACTTCGACCCAATCGCGTTTTACTATTTTTACGATGAATTCTATGAGGAAATTTCTTCTTTCCCGGCCTGGCAAGCTACTCGTCTATCGAGAGATTACGAATGTAGACGTAAGAAAAGATAGATTTTCATTGAATCATCCAATCAGTTAAAATCATTATTCTCCTGTGTGTTTGTTAACTTTGTTTACTTAATAAAAGACACTAATGCCAATGGTTTTTTTTTTTGTGTAGTCCCACTCGTTTAGATCTGTGTTCCCTTTTTTTATGGGGGGGGGGGGGGGATGGGCCGTGCGATGCCGATGTGGTGTCTCTCGCGATCGCGGTCACTTGTGCAATTGTGGACCTGAGTTTACACAAAGTCTTATATTGAAATAGTGATGAATAAACCAATAATGTAGCGATTTATCATTTGCTTAGGTAGAAAAGAGAGTGACCCAAGAGGCAAAGACCCAAAATGAGATCCTTTTCAAGAAAGACGATTTTTCATTAGGGTCTAGATCTACAAATAGTCTTGGTATTTTCATCATCATTCACTACTAATGGTACTATGTATGCAACCAAGATCTAATATCATCATGATTATTTCAATTATTAGTGATGTTTATATTGATGTTACACTTACAGTTATTATCATCAATTTTCATTTAAAGAACGATCTTGTTTAATATGACAAAGGAAGATGACATCTACTTTTTGTCAAGTTGGATAATAGACATCACTCAGAAAACTCTTTTGACTTAATTAATTCTATGAAATTCTTTAAATTTCTTGCAGATGGCTTGCAAAGCAAGACTGATGTCATCCTCGAGTAGACGTGGGTCTGCAGTGACAACTCAGTCCCAGTTCTTAGAAGCCAAAGTTCCACAGCTTATGTCAAACTCAAACGAGAGAGGGAATCAGCATTCACCATGGATACCTGATGTAATTTAAAAGATTTTAAGCAATAACTAGCTTGTTCACATAAGTTGCTGTTTTTTCCTTTTAAAATCGTATATGAGCTTACTGCAACAATTTTTTTTAGTGTGTCATCTTGTGAACTTCTTGGTATGGAATTCAAGCAACAGACCAGTTTTCTGATTAGTGTATTAAATAATTGAAAGCTACTTCTTGAACAGAACTCGAACTATATGATGCCTGCCTTACATTGAGATGCTTTTATCAAGGCATGAGATGGCAAAAAACCTATGTCAATTATTTAAAAAAATGGAATTTTTAACGTATTTGACTTTTTACAAGTATAATCTATCTCTCAATGAAATATCAAAACCCGAATGCACCCCGTCACTGAAGTATGGCACCCCTACCCCAGAATAAATGTTCTAATTTTGTTTGCAAAACAACGTAATTGGCAATACGCACCACTCCAATTTACAGTATAGTATAATTTATGCAGAGAGACCCTCGAAAAATGATTGTGCATGTTCACTACGCACCCGCAAAAACACTTCCACAGACAAATGCAAATGTGCTGAAGCTAACTTTGTCAAAAATGCATGAGTTTGTACACTTACACTATTTGAGATTGAGATATAATGTATGTTCTAATCTATGCAAATCATTCAAATATGTGGGACTTTTGTTAAATTATTTTTGATTGTACATAACAATGACTTCTTTGTTCATTCTCAATCTCAGTCAGAATATACGAAATATTTGAAAAACTACAGTTAGAACTGTACTCCGATAAAGTTTTAAACCTGAATTACTGGAAAAGATGCTACGTGTAGATACATTGTTTTGCCGTAGCATGTCCAAAGACTTATTAGATTTTGACGGGGGTGGGGGGGGGGGGGACATTGTATTTGTTATATGATGCTTAAAACCAAATCTTTGTTGAAACCCATTGTCCTTCATTATAATCTTGCTGACAAAGACTTTGCATTGATTAAGGATCATGCATAGCTAGAAAATAAAAAACCACTACCTTTGATCATTTTGTGCTTCTAATCCTCTCTCAGTCGACTGTCCAAGAAGTCTGTGACCATTACCAGGGGCTAGCCGATGAGGGCAAGTCAAACTTCATGTCTGCTGTGGCATCAGGAATGGGTGTGAGACATGACAAGATCCTAACGGAAGCCAGTCAACTGCAATCCCAAGTGGTATGTGTCTGCTTCTACTTCTGTTGTGGGTAATAGACCAATTGGTGGTTAGCGTATGGTACATGTGACCCCAAATATCCACAGATCTTTTGAACATGGAGAGGTGCCATTATGAGCCTTTTTGAAAAATCATGTACTCCAAAACTGATGGGAATGCCTCATGAACATTTTTTACTTCCGCATTTGAAAAGATACTGCCACCTGTGTATCATGGAATGCGCCATTGGTGTATGAATGAATAATAAATACATAACTTTCATGACCATGTGATGTGATTTATTGTTCAGTGCCTTGTTCCAAGTTATTTCATTCACCTGTTAGGAATAACTGTACTTCAATAGTCAAAATGCAAATTGCAAGCATAATGTGTTGTTAGATAGGAGAAGCTGTGATGTTTGTTTGACCTAACAACCACTATTATTGATTAAATATACGTTGCAGTGATTCAATCTTTTATGCATACCGGTACTTTGACCAAAGTTTTGCTTTTGATGACCGCAAACTTTTTTAGACTTGCCAGATATAACAACATACACATGGCGATGAGTGTTTTTATACTTCATCTGTGGAGATGGATGTACTATAAAAACTGGTGAATACAATATATTTTGTAGGGGAAGGGGAGGGGCACACATTAGTCATATAATGCTTGAAAAGATATGGATTCTAATTTCTTTGTAGAAACTCTTTGTTCTCCTACTTTTTTTCACTGACAGTTTATTCATGCTCTATCTTGAGCATGTCATGCGCATTGCTCAGAAGCAGCACAGAAATGATTCAATGAGTTTCCTATGTTCCAGATACGATTAGATATTGGATGCCTTTTTTAAAATTCAGGGTCGTGAGGATGCGGCCATTCTTCAGGCCGAGAAGCGTCTCCGCCTGTCCCTCGTCCCAGGGTACTCCACTCTCTTTTCCCACATCAGTCGACTTCAGGGCGGGGTCAAGTTCCTTGTTGATCTACGAGCAGACCTACTGGTGAGAAAGATAAAATAGAAGTGGTAGTAGTGGTAGTAGTATTAGTAGTAGTAGTAGCAGTAGTAGTAGTAGTAGTAGTAGTAGTAGTAGCAGTAGGAATGATGATTAAGACAGTATTACTAAAAACAAAATAATAGTAATAATGATTATAATAATAATAACGGTAACGATGATGATGAGAACAATAATAATAATAATGATAATACTGATTATAGTAATGATGATAATAATGATGCTAATTTTCATGTTCTTTTAGGATCACTTATTGTCTCAGCAATCACTCCAAAACGAAGCTGAATTGAAGGCGTTGAACGACACATTAAAAGATCTTCTGATTGGTTGGTTTGCTGCCGGCATGCTGAACCTGGAGAGAGTCATGTGGTCATCATCATGTGACATGCTTGAGAAGGTAAATGACTTATAGGGATTGATCATTTTCCAATTTTAACATGTTTGGTTTCAAATGAGTTTATTTCTCATGCAAAACAAAATACATGTACAAGAATAATTATATCACAACAAATATGCAATGAAACAACAAATATAATGGAAAAAGCATGAGAAAAGAGGAACTAACTTGAAGCAGAGCTTGTTGAAGTGTAAGTTCCTCAGATGCTGTTTTACAATAAAACATGAACAAAGTATGCTTAGAAATCAATAAATAGACAAATATGTAGCTAAGAAAAGGTTTACCCACAATTTGTAAATGTTTAATCTTTGGATATGACTACACCAGAATTAATTGACAGATTTTGCCAATGCCATTTTACAATTCGGCAACACATATCTAAAGATGTGAGAGTATGTTAGTTTAGGAAATGAGGAAATATTCAAAGGTATTTTAAAAGTGTCCTAGTATATCGTCTTTTTCCCTGCATTTTATCCCAAGGTAAGCAGGTTAAAAGCTTACGTATATTTTGTCTCTATGTTAATGATTTTTATTTTAATACAGGATGTTCACTGATAATATTTATATAAATTTCAGATAAGTCAGTATGAGGCTGTCCATCCTGTAAGAAACTGGACAGACATCAAGCATCGAGTAGGGCCGTACAGGAGGTGTTTTGTTTTCACACACAGCAGCATGCCTAACGAACCGCTCGTCATCTTACATACCGCCCTCACAAGAGATATTTCAGCCAGTATCCAGGTATTAAGTCAATGTTTATTTATCATTTCTTGTCATGTTTGGAATCTCTCTTGCCCTCGCCTTCCCCTTTCCCTCCCCACTCCCCCTTCCCCTCCCCCTGGATACTTCACCCTTCACCCCTAAGACAGCGACCTGTGGAAACTATAGAAACCTCAATTATCCCTCACACAACTACCTAGAGGGTTATCGACTCCTGTATAGATAAGTGGAAGGGGGAAGGGGGTGGGGGAAGTCCAGGAAGTGATTGTGTGGGGGGTACTTTTCTTAGAATTAGGCATCTTAACTCCTGCTCTTAAGAGGAAGTTGTTATCATTGCGACCCATAGTTTTTTAGAAGCAGGATAGCAGTGTAGATAAGACCAAACAAAAAAACCCAGCAACAACAGGCAACCATAAAAACAGCCAATTCAAATATAAATTAATATTGGTTTTTAGTCTACAGTAAAGAAACAAGTAACACATGTAGTAACACACACAAACAAAATTGAGCCTGGGTCTTGTAAGACAAAAAGTTACAATTAATTGAATTTTCCCCCAAATTAGTCTTTTCTCCTTGAAGTAATCATAGCTTTACAATAAATATTAACATATAATGTAAAAGATAAATATAATGCATGCTAAAACACATTAGATTTATAGCAAGATAAAGATACATTTTTTAACAATTGATTGTGAGCTTTAAAGTTTCAAAATATTGTCAATTTTCATGTTACAGGTATAACAGACTTTTGTTTACATTTCAGTCCATAGTTCGTAAGCAGAATGACATAGCAGTTGGTGTCAAATCAGGAGAAGAGAATCCCGAGGAGGCCCAGGCCGCTATTTTCTACTCCATTACATCAACTCAGAAAGGTAGTTAACAACCCATTCAGAACTGTTGCCAATTTGGCGTTTGGTTCAATAACTCTTGATTCAGGGCTGTAAAACAATATATCACCTGCACGAGCAGAAAAGTACAATATCTGGACACCTCATGTAATTTTGATTGTACATGTAGTATTTACATCATTTGACACCATGAATGATATAATGTATGAGAAAAAATAAGCTTAAACTCTTCAAATAAGCAAATCATAAAAAATGTCTATAGATCTATAGCTGTTTTCCGCACAAATTGGTTGTTTAAAAAAATTATGACATATGTTAATCTATTCTTCTTTCCAGTACAATACTTTATATCAGAAGCATCCCAATAAAAAAGAAAATGCCAGTGTTGCCATTTTGAATAATAAAAAGACAGTTCAATGTAGCCATCAAATCATCTATGAATCAATAGAATGTTTGACATGGCACTTTTTCGCTACATTTACTTCTCAATTCACATCATTTTGCTTTTGATTTAATCTTGTTTAAGCTACATTTACATGTATGTTTAATTAAAAGAGATGGACTACTTTTCTTATACCCTGTTGTTAAAAAGGTCTTCAGGGTGTAGAGCTTGGGAACCATCTCATAAAGAGTGTCGTCAAGGAGCTACAGTCCGAGTTCCCCAGCATGCATCTCTTCTCCAGCCTGTCTCCGATCCCTGGTTTCAGGGACTGGCTCATTTCACAGATCAACAAGCAGGTCAAAGGTCAGTGAGTAGGATCCCCCCCCCCCCCTGTCTCTCTGTATGATTGTATTCTGGTCTATCTCTCTCTCTCTCACGGTACAAAAATTGTGTCCTATTGGTTCACCATTCTCTTGAAACCATTCTTTTTTTATCTTTTGGTTCTGTTATATATTGTGTAGATGAATGCTTTCTTGCTATTTTGGGGCTTGAATACAGGACATCACATAAGACTTGAAAAAGCTTTAAAAAGAATAGAATTAAGAGCTCTTTAGCTTGAAAATTATACAAGAACATTGAAAATGCCATGTACAGTAGAAAGGCCTTGTAATGTAATGTCTAGAACTGTGAAATTCAAGCTCTATGGTGTAACTTACATGGATGCAAAATGTGCATTAAATGAATGACTCGCATATGCAAATATAACATAAACGATAGTTTCACGTCTTTATACTTTCTTTCTTTTCCCTCACTATAGATGAACATAACACCAGCTTATTCACTTCACAAGAGCTAGACTCATTCAAGTCTGCTTTAAATATCACATCACCACAGGCATTGTCAACCCTGAAGAAAGTCATTGTGACGAATGAGTGGGTCAAGTCAGAAAGCCTAGTCAAGAGTCTACAATCTCCTCTCATGAGGTTATGTGCAAGGTGGGGAACTCAGTTGTGGCTTGTATTTTAACTTGTAAAATACCATGTGTATGTCCGAGATAACTGTGCATGAAACGCATCAAAAATATATACCTTATGAATATTAATCACCTGCCACTGGTTATGCTTGTCAGTACTCCAAGCAAAAATAGTGGAAAACATGTTTTCCATGGATATAAGATATCTGACAAAAGTATTATAATCCACGGACTCCATTTTAAATAAAAGAATAAATTTAACTCTTTTTACCTCAATTTTTTGTACCCCCTTCTTTATTCTGGTGAATATATGAATACATATGAATTCAAAAGTTAAAAAATAGATTCAATCGTCGAAAAACAAGATGTAAGTCGTTTGAATGTCACTTTATTGATTGATAGATTGTATATTACACAGGAAATACCAGCAGTGTGAAATTCACACCAGTGATATGTACACTTATGAAATGAAGAAATCTACATGAACTCAACAAGGAGTTATTTCTTGACCAAAATCCAGTGTAAACAAGCAGGAATGTAATTAATGAATCTGTCAGCATGAAGCAATTGACATGCCAATTTATTTTTGGAGATGGTAAAAGTTCAAAAGGTTAGAGGTATTTCAAATGTGTATTTAATAGCCATCTTCTCTTTCTTCATTTTAATAAAAGTGATTTACATAATACCAAATCAGCTTTACAAATTATTCACAGTATTAGATGTTCTAATTCTTATTACTCACATTATGCCCTTTTTTCAATCAGTCTATTTTCTTTAAAAATAAAGGCAGTCCAATGAGTACAGTTTATTAATCTTAGACTGAAAAGATAGCCTCCATTCATCTTGTGTTCCTTTCTGTCACAAAAGTGTACAGAATATTGATGAGTGATTTGTATTTGTTTTATGCCATGCAGGTATCTGTATGTAGAGAAGAGACGTAAAATGGCACTGAACCCTGTTGGTAAGTGGCAACACCAATTTGTCTTTTCTCGCTTTGGTTGACTGTCTGAATATGCATTAGTAGAGGTGTTGTGGTCTAGTGGATAAGTCACCAGACTGCAGATCACAAGATACAGGGTTCAAATCCCAGCCCGACACTAACCGTAACGGCAATACATTAATCTACATTTGCCACTCTCTACCCAGGTGTTACATGGGTACCTGGTAAGATGGGAAAGTTAATGTAGTTTGCTCAGCATTCCAGCACCTGGCTGGAATGCTCCCCAGGGAGTGGAGAATGTGCATACATTGTGTGTGGGCAAGCCTAAATCCGATGATGGGGGTAGTAATATATCTGTAAAGCGCTTAGAGACATAATTGATGTATTAAGCCCTATACAAAAGTGGAATATTATTATTATTAGGTTGCATAGGTTAGCTTTTGTCACAGTTACAATGTCTGCTAAACTTTGTACTCTAAGTACATTGTCAATCTATGGATTCCTTTCCTGGTGAGACGAGATTATTAAGTGTTATTGTCAATCTACTTTAGCTATGACCTGTCTACAAAGACCATATGATATTTTCCATTTCTCAGTGACTCTCACAAATCTGCATTGAAGGGAAAACTCCACACAAAGACCACTTTGCTTGTCTTCATAGAGTGGTCTCTATTTACAGCTTACACTGTATGTAAATCAAGATTTTTATAAAATCAATTACTGATTCTGCCTTTCACTCTGTTTTTTCCTTTTTTCCAGCTAACTTTCATCTTCGGAACGGAGCAACCATGTGGCGCTTGAACTGGTTGGGTGACACGTCCCCACGAGGTCTAGCTGCCTCGTGCGGGATGATGGTTAACTATCGTTACTACCTTGAGAACACGTCGAGCCTCAGCCAGCGCTACATCGAAACGCAGAATATCAAGGCTTCAAAACAGATTCTTGATTTGGTGGGAAATGGGTCGTCTAATGCCGACATGGGGACGGTAAACAGCAAGTTATGATGATTGTTAAAGAAGTAGTAATTTTGTGGGTAGCTACATGTAATCTGTTCTGTTGTAAACTATACCGTGTGAGTCAAAAAAAAGTTTACACCTAGAAAATTGCTAATTATTTTAAAAATCGTCCATGAACAGTACATTATTATACATCTTATGAAAGAGTGTTTTATCCCAAATCATTTGGTATCATTTTTGTGTGGTATATGTTCACGCTTGGACGAACAGGAGGCATTCTTTGCGAGAGTGCAAAAATCGACTTGCGCCAAAGTGATGTCTACAGCATGTATCGTCGGCCTTGCCAAAAGGGCCTTAACCCGATTTTGGGGGTTATTGAGTTATTAACATCACCTTGTAGATTTCATCATTCTCTTTAAAATGATGTGCTTCACTTGTTGAAATTCGATTTATTTATGAAGATAATTATGAATTTCAAAAGGGCCTTAACGCGTATCTCATCTTTTTCCTTACGCCAAAAGGGCCTTGACCTACACGGATGATCCATTTGCGTTAGGAGGGCCTTTCTGGCAAACCAAAGGTGTTGCGAAACAAGAAAATTTCCTTATGCCAAAAGGGCGCTAACTATGCGCGCGTACGCGCGCATAGTTACGCGCATAGTTACGCGTACGATAACGGCAGGTTCAGGCCCTTTTGGCATAACGCTGCGTAGGTTACACCCCTTTTGGCATAATGCCGAGTAGGTTACGGCCCTTCTGGCATAAATACGCTACATTCAAGCCTTATGCCAAAAAGGCCCTAACATGTTTTTTGCACATAGCATGTACAATTCTGAATATTTTATAACAAATTTAACACATTTCATGTAAAACTTAATAACTTAACACATTTATCGAAATTGGCTTCAAAAGCAAAAAAAAGACCACAAACTTTTGATTATTAGAGAGGCCAAAACCTTTAAACGCGATTATCTCGGAATGGCCAAAAGCAGTTAAGGCCCTTTTGGCATAAAGCGGAGTGAGAGAAAGGATTGAATGTATCAAATGGAATTGCATATGCTTTTTGCAGAAGCAAAGTCACACACACACGCGCGCACAAATGTTCGTTGATAATTGATATTCGATATTTGATATGTGTAGCATGATTACTGTTGTTAGGGATGTTATTTGGATCTGCAAAGACCGAATACCCAAATCCCAATTGTTTTATTCAAACATCACATAAGCAACTTTGGCGCAAGTCGATTTTTGCACTCTCGCAAACAAGCGTGAACACGCGTGAACACATACCACACAAAAATGATAGGAACTGATTTGGGATAAAACACTCTTTCAAAAGATGTATACTAATTTACTGATCATAGATGATTTTTTAAATAATTAGCAATTTTCTAGGTGTAAACTTTTTTTGACTCACACTGTAGTGCTTGAAAAACAGGTATAGCATTTACACCAAAGAGATCCTATTTATCATAATAATTTTGGATAAAAAGTGCTATTTACAGTGATACTCAGATGTGACTCAAGAAATAATTAATGGACAAGTTTGGAGATAAATATTTGGTCTTAGATATACTGTGTATTGGGTCACTCAGGTATCATCTGCTGGAGCCTGCCCTGTCCAAAAGGGGCCAAGCCCCCAGCCCCCCCCCCCCAAAAAAAAAAATAAAAAAAAATAATGGGTATACTTGCCCTTAATCTAAAGTTAGAAGATATTCCTATTAAGAAATATTCCTTAATAAATCATATGCACTGTATCTACCGTTTTCTGGGGAGTGGATTCTTCAGGAAAAAGTATCCCCCTTCTTTAATTTTTAAAATTTTTATAATAGAAATTGTGATGTAATGCAACGAAAACTCCTTGGGACAAGTAAACTACCTTGTTTAACCCATTCATTATAGGAACCAGGTATTCCATATATGTAAACCTGAGAATATCAGTGATTTAGTGGTCAAAGGGTTAAAATGATACCTTGATATAGCAGTAATAATCAAAAATATGATGAAACATCTGTACAAATTAATCGGACAGGCAAAAATTGCACAACCCTGTGAAAAGGAAAATTGTAAATTAATTTTTGTATAACAATTAATTGTAACAATGTTCCCCTGTAACATGTCTAATAAAAACGAAGGAAGTATGCAATGTGATCTTGACCGTTTTCCTATTAAATAAGAAAAAAAAAGAGCAAAATTTCTCACCTAAACCTTAGTTTTAAAAATATGTTTATTGAGAGCTCTTATATTGTAACAATAAGATGCCTTTGAGCTCTGAACAGACACTATTTTAATACTGTAATTCTTGAACCATGTATTCATTATACATGACATGGGGGAGAAATGTGTCTCTGATTAATGATTTAAGTATAGATTTTGTGTTTGTGTTCATCATTTGAAGAATGATACAAAGAAATTTAAATAATTTATAAAACGATTAAGTGCAATAAAGTTATAAACCAATATCTTTATTTCCATAAAGTGATGAAAAATTGTACTTCTGTGACTTCATTTTAAATCTTGAGTTTATTATTATTTCACACAATGATAAAGCTGACGGGATGGAGAGAGATTGTGACCTTAAGGTTTGTTCAAGTAAAACACGGGAAATCGTGGTTGGTTTTACGTGTAAATGCATGGCCACTGCATGCAACAAAGGCCCTATGCGTATTGTGTTACAAGATACAGAAATGTGACGCTTTTGCCATGCCATATTTGAACAAGGCTTTAGTTTTGCTATAATGTTTAAGGCAGGCATAATCATGATCATGACAATCAGAGTTGTGCATGTGTAAATGAAAAGAAAATGACATATAGTGCGCTCTTCAGGTGCTATATATATATATATATATAACAATAACATTGTTGGAAAACGACGGACTATGACTGTTGGTTCAGTATTTTTATAAATTGTATAGATGTACTCCTATTGCACAATAAACTCACCTGTATGATGCATTTGAATATGAATTATAACTGTTATGTGTTATTTCTTCCTTTCACAAGTAGTTTTCACAACAGTTTGACAGCGAACATTCAGGCTTCTCTATGAGGTTTTCACATTAGATTTCACTGTCAATTAAAAAGAGGACAATTAAGAAAGATAGCGAGTAAGTGAAATAGAAACATGGGAAGTGATTAAAAGCGAGAGAGAAAGAGAGAGAGAGATCGAGAGAAAGAGATCGAGATCGAGAGAGAGAGAAAGAGAGAGGGAGAGAGGGAGATAGAGAGAGAGAGAGAGAGAGAGGGGGGGGGGGGGGACAGGTACTGGTAGATGGGAGGCAGACAAAATTAGAATGCATTTTCATTGGTTTCTCCAAAATGAGAGAGAGAGAGAGAGAGTGGGGGGAGGGGGGGGGGGGGGGGGCGGGGGTAGGTTACCCCCCATATATATATATATATATATATATATATATATATATTTAAATATGTATAGTGCTAGCCCATTTTTTAAGTTTGGAAGAAAGCTGGTTTTGGATAAATTTGTCATTCCTTGACAAAGGAAAATAGTATATTTTGTATATGGCACTGGTTTTTTAAAAACTATGACCAAATAGCTAAATGGCCCTTTGAGAGCCTGAAACTTTCAAAGATAAAGAATTAGAAATCAATTACAACTTTTTCTTGTAGCATGGACCTAGATTGACCTCCCATAGCTGAATGAAAACATTTCAACGTTGTTTTATGTGCATGAGGTATCCCTGAACAGCCAATTGTTTACGGAATTTTGAAACAAAATTGACATACCTTTTGGTTGGAGCCGAAAAAAATATATACCCACAAACAATATGTTTTTTTTCTATGGATTATTAATGAGCATGGGTGGACCTTAAAGAAAGTTAACAGTAATTTGAATTACCTCCTGTATTTTGATGGAACAGTGCAATTGAAAATGGTGTTTCGGACGTTACATTTTCCGTAAACAATGTAGACCCTCATTTAACCCACTAGAACAATAAATTAATGAGATTGTTTATGGTTTGAATAAGCTTATTAGTTACTCCAAGTAATTAAATTAAAAGAAAATATAATTTAATTGTAGTAGCGCTTATATTAGAAATATACTCAAAATTTGAAAAAGTTGTCTCATTTTCCGTAAACAATTTTGTAACGTCCGAAACAACTTTCAATTTGAAGTAGCAGAAAATATATGAACTGCAGGACCTATCTTTCGTAACATTTGTTACACATTTCATAGCGGCTACCTACCAAAAAAAAGAAATTTGCAATACATCACTACAATACTATTTTATAGTTAAAACCAATTTTCCGTTAACAGTTGTAACGTCCGAAACAAATGTAACGTCCGAAACAAAAAATACCAAATAAATGATGATAATCCATATTTGAGGGTATCTGGAGTGAAAAAAATCGTTATAAAATAAGTTATTATAAGTCTTAGCACAAGTCAAAACACAAATCAGGTCTTTCAAATCCAATAATTTTGTGTAAGCTCAAGAAGGGTGTTTCGGACGTTACACTATTTGATTGTTAACACATAGTTTGCAAATTTCAACTAATTTTCGATCATATGTGCAAGTTACGATTTCATAATGCACACTCCTGTTAAAAACTCTATTTTGATAATTTCATTTAGATCTACATATAAAAATATGAAGAAATATGATGCAAAAAAAAAAAAAATCAAATTTTCCGTAAGAATATCTAAATTTTCTGCAAAATTGACTTATAAAACATAAAAAATATTGAAGCCAAACTTTGTGATGCAAGGCATGGCTGGCTGCTTTAGTATATCCTTAATTGTAATTTATCAGAAAAAATCTCAATAAAAGTGACTCATAAAAAATATTCAGCCATTTTAACAGCACTTTCTGTTATGCTGTTAGCACGTTTCGGATGTTACATTAAACTGTTAACAGACATTTTCATACTTTAACTAGTTCAAATGAGGGGCAAAGATAGATGTGAGAATTGCAAATTTCAATTTTTCAACCTCTCCTCTTGCTATTTACATTGCTGTGTGTTTGCAAATCATCAGGTTTTCATTTTTACAGAGGTTGTTCCAAATGATGTCAAATAACCAAAGGTAGTATGGTCCATCTGAACTATTTGGTAGGTTACACAAGCTCAACGTCACCCACTGAAGCAATACCCAGTGTACATATGACATGGGTATGATGTACAGGTATATAAAGTTGATAAAATCAAGCAATTTTTTTCTAAAAATGTATGGGAAATATTGATTTTCATTTGAAAATACCATTTTAAAAGGGCACTCAGTACACGTACTGTAACCAATCTGTGTAGAAAGTACATACATGTACATGTATAAAAGAAAAGGGCATTACCAGTAATACCTTATTTAATGATCCTAAACATATACATGTAGTATCTTCCTCAAATGTATGCATACATACAAAATGTATAAGCTAGTGTGAAATATAAATGGGCTGTCCGTTTGGTTTTCTTTTTTTCCCTCTTTTTCCCCACTACGAAATGTCAAAGTTGGGGGTGCGGCGCTGCGGCCTTATCGCCGGCATAATATGGTACATGTTTAACCTACACTGTATATTGTTTGTCACCTGTGATATCGGCAAGGCAGGAGTTAATATCTAACAACCAACCAACCAACCAATCAATTCATCCATTCATCAATCGGTCATCAAGTAAATAAATAAATAAATACTTATTTAACAGCATTAAAAATTGTTGTCGTTTGAAACAGCCTCCTAATACAAATAGTGGTAAAGGATGATTGTTACTACAGTAGTGTTGTAACCTAAAACATACAAAATTTTAAAATAAATCTAAAATGTCTCATTCTTGAGATGTACATAAATTAGGATTTTTCAATGTTTTGCTTACATACATGTATGTGTTAGTGATATTATTGAATGACACACTATATATTTGAAGGCAAAGAACATTAGCAAGCATATTGTAGAGTTTGTAGAAATTGATGATCTGATTGAAATGTTAACATCGTGTAACATCCGAAACAAACCATAGCATACATTGTACACTGTTGTTCATAACATGCAATAAAGAGTATGTTTCTAAGTGAATTTTCTAAGGAGTTTTGATGACTACAATTGCTATTAGCTTCATATTTTACTCTGTTAGATCACCTAAGCATTTTAACTACCGGTACACGTTCTTGAAATGAATATTATACCTTACATCAATTGAGTGGTCGTTGAAGACGAATTATGTATCCATGTATGTGCTAAACTAATCAAAACTGCACAATTTTTCCCATAAATGTATATATAAAAGTATTTTTCTGCAAACAATTAATGTAACTTAGGTCAATAATACCTAAAGAAAAGCGATTAACTAGAATAAAGTCATGATGTTAACAGTGTGCAACGTCCGAAACATCAGTGGTGTGCCATATGAAAATTATTAGGCAATGCACTGGTTCCCAATTTTGTTGCATGTATTTACCTTATATCATCAGTTGTTATAATAAAATAAGTTTGACCTAAGAAAAAAGCATGTTACCTATTGAAATTAAAACTTGTTATTGTCAAAACCCAAATTTAGAGCTATTTTTCACTTTCAAGGGATACAAAATCTGTATTTTTCAAGATAGAAACTCAAAAATTTGCATGAATGATCTCTGAAACATATTCTTAAAGACCCAACATATTTAAAGGTGTAGTTAATAGCAAATGAGTTTTATATCACAGTTATTAGATATGCTTTAGTTCACAATAACATTGTAAGAACTCATATTATTCATATCTGGTGAATAAATAAGGAGATAGATTAAGCTCCAAAACTTGCATTTCTCAAAAATATGAATAGTCCTGATCATAGAAATACATGTTTGAAGTAAGTAAACATAATTTCATTTTTGACCCTTTTGTGGACACATTTGGTATAAGTTAAAAAAACTAGTGCCATATCCTACGATCTTTTCAATATTCTTGACTTGTCTATTCGTCGTCAACCGCCGCAGGAGTATATATGTACCTAATACACTCAATTCTACATACACATTCAATTCAAATCTTTATTCAACCTTTATAAAACATATTTAAAATGAAAATATACAATATACAATATATAATGATTAGGATCCCGAGGAAGCAGAGTTCTGCTTGTAGTCGGGGCCCTTTAACAAACAAGAACAAGATAATGAACATAATCAATGAAAAGTAAAAGACTTGCGTAATACAAGCACGCGTATACACACCAAACGTATACACATTCATAAAGAAGGTTTCGAATTAAATTCAATTAGAAGAAATAAGGAAAAGAGAAATACCTACTCAACCATGGATATCATTCTTTGAAAAATACCTTTGTTGTACATTGATTTAAATCTGTTAATTGTAGAACTTGATCTTAGTTTATGGTTCAATATACATATATATATATATATACACATATATAAATATATATACATATACATGAATATATATTTTTCCAAGAGATTTGCCAAAGCGGTTGTATAGGTTATTTCCTTACATTTGTTTACAATTATTCTAACTTATTCGTGTATCTGAAAGCATTCGCCTCGAGCTGAGTCACGCGGCCCCCAGCGAAAGAATTAATAAATGAAGGTTCGAGATTGAGCAATCTGTCGGTCAATTCAAACCGTGTGTCGCCGCAGCCACTGGCAGGTCTCTGTGGTCTAGTGGTTAAGGCATTGGCGTTCTAAGCGAGTGACCCGGATCGATTCCTGACGGAAATAATTCTTTTAACCTTTGCCAAAATGTTAAAAAAAGGACAGCAATTTTTGAACTTCGATTTAAGCTATGCAACCTTTGTTGTCTAATTTCGTTTCGCAATATACATATTTATATATATTAAGTCATGAATAAAAATGACTAAGAAGAATTGAAGAAAAAACCCATCGTACCATCATCATCATCATTATAGTTTTTAAGAAAAATGAAAAGACCTCTTCTCTGAGTAATACACCACAAAGTATCATTAAACAATAATCATATGACCATGATTACTTCGATAATCTACCATACATATAAATGTGAAATACAATAAAGATAATAACATAACAAATTGATCACACAGTTCTCGAATATTTTTTTAACGGAATATTGGTAATTGAAAATTATAGGAGAAGGGGGGGGGGGGAAGGGTCATTCGATTCCCAGCCCACCCCTCCCCTGCCTAGTATGCCAATTTATCAGATTATGCTCTCTTAATAAGACCTTCTTGTGGCTTACATGACTAAGCATATATTTTTTTAATCTGTAAGAATAAACCTCAACTGAGCCAGTGGCCGTTGCAAAATAGGTAGTGCCACTAATATCCATGTCACTGCTCTAATTTCGTTTGCTGGCGTCCGTTGAATCCATTGGAAGATTGACGGCAGTATCACTAGTTACAGAAGCATCATCATCACTCCTCTCATTGTGGATGGTGCCATCCGCAGCATCCTTAGGGAGACTGACAGCAGCATCATTGTTGGTGGAAGCAACATCATCACTGCCCTCAGTAGCTTTCCTGACATCCGTTAAATCCAGAGCAACACTGAGGGTGTCAGCATTCATGGTGGAGGAAACGTCATCACCTCTCTTAGTGGCTTTTGTGACAGATGAATCAAGAGGGAGACTTACCGTCCCGACATCAGTGCTTGTTGCATCACGATCCGTGTTTTTCTTCTGTTCCTCGGTGGAACTTTGGATATCTTTGTTCATAGGTGGTGTGATCCCTTCCTCAACCTGGCTAGCGTCATAGGTCGGATTGAACGTACACATAGGATCGGGATTGTCGTCTTTGTTAGGCAACAAGTAATTACCAGAGGCTCCTGAGCACATGCCAGCTGACGAGGATAGCGCCGTCGAGTTTACCACACCGCTGGAAGTGTTTGCCTCTTTCTTTAGGAGCTTGTCAAAACAAGTTAGCCGCCATTTCTTACGGACGTGAGGCTTCCGGACGCAGTAGACAAGAAAGATGAAAAATCCTTGGAAGGAGTTAAGGACGACGAAGATTGGCTGAGCCACCTGTTAAACGCAAATGTTTCAGAAATAATAAGTAGGTATATGGCATTCTTTCTCTTGTTATTCAGATACTGAACATCTAAAGAGGTATTGCTAGTGTATTTAATCATCATAATACTGAGTTCTCAAGATATTTCTTAGAAGAGATATATACCACAAAGAAGTTATTCTTCAAGCTAGTTGGCTTTACCTGACTGAATAGCGGGATCAAAAGAAGATATCCGGTGACCCATGTCATACCGAGCAGGAACAAGATGCAGATCGCGATCTGAACGCGTTCAATAGTCTCTCGACGTTCTACCTTAGCCTCTCTTTTCACCCGACCAGCGATGTTTGTTGACCGGAGGACTTTTCGAACCACCAGGATGAAGATAACAATGTTGATGAGGAGGATGATGGACATGGGAATCAGGAGACCACCGATTTGAGCCCAGAATTGCAGAAAGCATCTGTTGATAGTAAATATGCATTGTGTAAAGAGACTGAAATAAATCAAGCAATACTGACTATCTTAGCGAAAGTTATTTGACATTTTGACCGATTAATTTGAGTGGTACATTATTTCCCATTATCTATTTTGGCAAGTCCAAGCTTTGTTGTCCCATCCGTTACCAACAACATCTGAGATTTGAGTATGTGTGGTGACTGTATTCAGTTAGTGGTCTTTCTAGAGCTTGAATCACACCACATGCCCAAGAAGGTGATGATTAGATACAAATTCTAGATCATAATTGTATACTTGCTAACTCATGAGACACCAAAATACCAAATGCCTATAAACTAGATTAAATTACAGAAACGTGATTTTGCTGAATTCGAATTTCGAAGATCATTAGGTATACCCTATGCTATGCAATCCAGTATTCCAGCTAAAGTCTCAAGTATTACCACTTACAGATCATCATGAGCATAAGAGCCTCTAGCAATAGCTCCGGTAAGAACCACGATGAAAGCAGGAACTCCTGAAATGACATACGCGTATGAGGAAATACGTTGTTTTTTTCCATTCATAATACGTCTTTATTGGACTTGGGCCTAGCTTATTCCTTTCCCTATTTCTTCGATAAGTCTTATCGGTGTGGTGTCCAGCTCACAAGTTCTTCCTACGGATATGGCGACACTATGATTATTTATACTCTCTTAGAGTATTCTTTGTGCCAAGTGCCGTTTAATAATAATAATGAAGAAATTACACATATTGGCAAAAAATGCCGAATTAATGTGCATTATTAGTTGATGCCTGTTGGGCTGTAGTCCGTCCTGCGGTCCTAATGTGATCTTTTCATAATTATTGTCCATTTAGTTAGCATGGCTTAATGAATGATATATCCTACTGGAGTTTTGGAATAATTTTGTTCATTAAAAAACAGAAACAAAATTCCTTTGTTATATTAATATATATTTTTTTCCTTTGATCGCCCATTCAACTTTATTTTGATTGCGAAAGGTTGATCGCTGCAAAGCAGGTTGTCGCACCTTGACAGACCTATTGTTTTATGGATACTTTCATAAGATTAATAAGCCGGTCGAAGGTTTCTGATCTAGAGACATCTATCTGTATGTAAAAAAATACAGAAACTTTATTTTAATAGTACGCACTATTCCAAGAAAAACAGATTTAAGGAAATAAATACCTTACCCCATGCAGCTAAAGAAGCCTTGATCATGAAATTCTGGATGTAGGTGTCAAAGATCTTCACAAAGCTGAGATAGGTATTGTACCCTTCCACACCCATCCATGCAATGGAGGACAAAACGAAGTAGTGAATTAGGGCCGTCAGGAACCCACAGGGTCCAGCTTGGACCTCACGATGATCTCTGATAGAATCCAGAGAGATCATGATGACAAATGTCGTGTAGAGACACATCAGGGTCAGGCACAGACAGATGAAGATCTGGTTAGGCTGTTTGGTCCTCAAATCCCTATCAAGATTGTAACATTAAAATTAGGATAGGAAAGCGTCGAAGCAATAGTGTACCATGCATGTAAAGGCTTACCATCACCTCATCAGCAACAAAAGAATAGAAAGGTCACACAACAAGAACAACAAGGCAAAAATGAAGGAGATTTCGTGATTGTGCTCTACCTATATATCTCTTTAATGATATTACAAGGTACACACCCTGAGAATGGCGAAGCCTGTTGAATGAAGTCAATCTGGGTGTAACTATTCACGACGATGTTAAATGAGAAACATGTGTCCACCAAAGGTGTTCGAAATGAATATTATATTGATATGATATTAACAAATGAATATTGCAACCTATTTTGTTACCCTTGTCACACAACCCTTACATCACCAAGCAAGTAATCATAGTATGGCTGTTTCTCTTCTTCTTTTCTTCTTCTTCTTTTTCTTCTTCTCTTTCTTCTCCTCCTCCTCCTCCTCCTCCTCCGCCCTCCTCTTCCCCTTTCTATCACGAACTGTACATTGTTCATAGTAGTTGGCAACAGCCCTGCTGGTTCAGACAAAAGTGATACCAAACATACCTGTGCTGCAGGTTTACACGTATTTCACAAATCATTTGATTACGAGATCATTTTATACGAAGGGAGCAACTTTTTTTAATTTGCATGATTATTTAAAAATTCAAAAAATGCATCTCTTTCATACTTTTGTTACCATTCTTTGTTCAAAAACTCCTAACTAAAATCGGAGATAGAAGGACAAGAGAAAAATTACATATTATGATCTCCTTTGTATTACATTTATAATTGCATTTTTTCTTCTTCAATGAGCTCACTTGTTGCACAGGTAGGTTGCCAATGTGACAAGAATACAGGATATAGAAATACAGCATCCAATGTAAGTCAATATGTTGTATGCCTCGATCAATGAATCCTCCTGTCTATGGATATTCTGTAACGTGAAAGAAATTTGACCTCAAACTGAAACATCTTCTTTAAATACTCAAGTGAAACCGATTATTTGCAAGGCTTTTATATAAAGTCTCTGTGTCGTTTATTGTATACTGAGAAATAGGGGGTTTATTTTGATAAAAGTGGTGAAACTTCATATTACTCATGGAAAAAAGAAAAGAATATCACTTTACTACCTTTTACACAAGAGTCCATACTTTATATTATCTCAAGAGTGAGATTATTATTTAATAGCAAATTTAAAACCAACTGTATACTATATTGTTCTTCGGAAGTAAAAGGGGAACTGTTAGAGGAAGAATAATTACCGCTCGTCCACAAACGCCTGGTAGTATTTTTTCAAAGTCTGGAAAGAAACTAGTAGCCGTATCCATTCGCATTACAGCAGGAGTAAGATATACTTTCTCCCACTATATAGTAAATAGATCATAATAATTACTATCTAATCCGTAGGACCAACTGTACCCCTTTGTCATCTAGAAAAATACCACGCTAAAGCTCTAGTAGTTGTCCGGGGAAAATTGACCGGGGAGTAATGGACGGGTGATAGTAGCTGCCTAATTACTTTTTCACTGACCATTATAACAGCGAAGTTGGTAAGATGATTACACGCACATCGCACGCCGTCCTTGTCATAGCGCTCATCAGATGATGCGAATCCAGAAACAAGAACACACCCATCCTGGGACCAATCTTCCACTTCCTCATCCCAGAATGAACACACGGAATTCACGTATCCAGACTATACAACAGCAAAAAATAAAGAAGGGAAAATGCATAGACCCACAATCAAATTTGTTAGATAAAGCATGACAGAAGAATGACCAATAATGTTGATTGGTATAGTTTAAAAGCCCATTTATGAGGGGAATCAAACATAGGAGTTAAAAAGGTAAAAAAATTGCTTGAAATACATTTGTTTAACTTTTCACCAAAATATGTTTGTCTACAAACGTAATTATCTATAAATACCGCTAAAGGCAGATTACAAGTACGTATAATACATGAAGAAATAAAGCTATTCTGCCATTTTATTGTTATAGATCTTACCTTTATTGTAGTGAAGGTAAAGTTGATGAATTCGGTCAAGGCTGCTACTTTCCCTTGACCAATACTGAGAGAAATCACGGGCGAGTTAGCCGATCGATTGAAGACTTCACTATCTCCACTGATTGTGCGCAATGATTTAGAAATGAACAGGGCTGGAGTTGAAAATACATTGAAGATGACCCGGACGTATTCACCACTGCCATTTGAGAGTAGGGTCGTGGACGAAATGACGGATAAAATTGAAGGTGGAATGTTGACCTGAGCGATGATGTCTGGTCTGGTAGCAATGACATCATCGCGGTCAGCTTGGGTCGGAGCATTAATGGTAATATTGGACTTGGTCAGGTCTGAAAGACTGGATCCAGCTAGCGAAAGCACGAGACCACGCATTAAGTCGTCAGCAAGTACACTCTGGACCTGTTATGTGAATTAGAACTTCAATATTTGATTTGCTTATATTTCGATTTGCCCATGGCTCTGCCCCACAGTACAATTATTTCCCCGAGATCTTTAAGCTCTCAAACCCTGGTTTACTTGTTGTTCAATATAAATTATAATTAGAGGAATGAAACCTTTGCTAAGGCAGGGCCTTATCTGAGGAATGCTCTCCCTCGAAAGACTCGCAATAGCAGATTCCCGGCCCCCCCCCCACTCCGGGGTCGGAATGACCGCATGCGTGTTAGCAATATGTCCGGTAAAGAGGTACTTTTCACGCACCAAAGTCCGGCTCGTACATACACAAAATTGACTTTACACACCGGACTTAGGGGGTGTTTTCAAAAGGAGGGAACACGCATATGCGTACCCTAAATAACACTGAGTGGGGGGGGGGGGGGGGGGAGAGCAGATTAGTGGAGGTGTCAAAAAATAATTTATACAAAAGTATTAATTTGAATTGGCTTACATTTGATCGTTCCCTATTTCATTTTTTAATGTATCTTGTTTCCATTCCTTCTTTTGTCTATAATGGAGATGCTATTAGGCGATTCCCTTTTTGCACAAGTGCACCTTGTGCGATACAAAGTGGATTTGGCACCTTACAATTCTTGTATTATTAAATAAATAAATAAATGGTTTGTTTTATTGAAAATTATCTCGCAGCCCGAAGGCTGAATTGTGTGACTTTTTAAAAATCGATTAAAAAATTACAATACAATAAATACATGTTAAATCAGACATTACATGATATAAATTCAAAATTCGTTGAAGTTCGTGGTAAAAATATAAAATATAGAGATATATATAAATGTGAACATGCAATCATATTTCCACTCCGATCTTCATTGATTTTTAACATTATCATCACTTCGCTGCTATCTGTTATTCATTGCCACCACTGGACAGGGATGCTCTGTCGTCTTTTCTCACCTTCTCCTGTGATCGACCGACAGAGGGCCTATAAGCGCCTCTGTGGAATCAGCACTGCCAAGGCCCGTCATCCAAATGACCCCCATAACTGTTGAAGGAGTTCGCTTTTGAACTTTCTGAAACTTTGACCACTCTCTTCAATCTTTGCCTCGGTCAGGGTTTCTTCCCTGACATATGGAAAAATGCATCTATCAGTGCTATTCCCAAAACTAACCCTGTTTAACTATGATCAGCTCCGGCCATTCTCTATAACGCCCACGTTAGCGCGTATCTTTGAAGGTTTCCTCGCGGACTAGATCATGAACAGCATCCGCCCGTTTGTTCGTGGTTCCACAGAGGGCTTGACAAGGGTGGCACTCTCGGTTACTTTTTGCGTTTTAGAGTTCTCTAAAGCTTTTGACCATGCCAACCACACCATCGTTATGAAGAAGTTGATTGACTTTAATGTTGATCACTCTATCATCCTACCACCTGCAACTTCCTTTCCGACAGAGCACATACTGTCCGCTACCATAGGAAATACTCACAAAAACAAACCATCACCTGTGGGGTACCCCAAGGTACTCGTCTCGGACCGGTCCTGTTTCTGACAGATGGAAATATGTGGATGACTTGACAATCGTGGAGGTTTTGAAGAAAACGCAACCATCTGATCAGTTGCAGTCGCATCTAGCATCTAGGCTCCTTGGTCCAATTATGCAAAGACAACGACGTTGTCCCGAATGCTGCTAAGTGCAAAGCTATGCAGATTTCATTTCTTCGCCAACCCCCGCCACCCAACGTTCTTCTCTACCACGCTGGAAGCTATCATATAGCTATTTAGGGGTCTTCCTTCAGGATGATCTCAAATGGGATGGGCAAGTCAGTTGTAAGATCTTCAACACTTCCAGAAGACGTTATCTCTTGACTAAGCTTCGGAGGAATGTTACCACTAATGATCTTGCTACTATATACATGCTGCACATCAGGCCAGTGCTAGAATTTTAAGCACCTGTTTGGACATCAGGGATTACAAACAGCCACTCTGCAAGCATCGGGCGATTTCAGAGGAGAGCTCTCAGGATTATTACGTACCCTGACACTAGAACTTATGATGAACTGAAATCTCACCTTGGCTTCTCATCTCTTGAAGAGAGACACGCATCCCTGTCTCTAAGATTCGCAGAATCACTACTCCAGTCTAAGGTTCATCGACATCTCCTACCTGAGAGCAGGGTCAGTGACTGTTACCGTACCATACGAAGTGCATTTGATTTGTCCTTGCCTATAGTTGAGAACTATGAGGTACCGAAATTCTCCCATCCCATCTTTCACTCGATCCATGGATAATAATTAGAGGCTTTTGTAATTATCAGAGTGTTATATGTACATGTATTTTAGCAATATAATTATGTGCAATATTTACTGTCATGATGATTGGCATATCAGGTTCTTCCACTCATTCTTCTTTTGATATTGCATGTACTTTTACCCTTCCTCTGAATTTCTCATCCCTTTTCTCTATTTTGAACTTGCTACTTTTCAAATTTTCTTTCCTCTTCTTTAGTTCTGGTCATCCCTTCTCTCTTTAACCCTCTCTCTCTGTATCTCTCTCTGTCTCTCCCTCTTCCTCTTTCGCCCTTCGTCTCTCCCTTCTCTCTGTTTTTCTCTTTCTCTTCAGGTAATGTTTTTCAGTACAACATTCTTTAATTATCTGCTATTCTTACTGTGACCAACAAAACCTAAAGATTTCCAATTTTCTTCATGTGCAATATGTTTATACATGTACTGTACTCATATTACACTTGTGATTAGCACAGTACCAAGACTTATTATGTCATCTGAATGGAATTTGTATTGCATTTTATCGCGGTCTTTCTTATGTTCAATTAGTTGAGTTCACGTATCATTTGCCAAAGACAATTATTCTTTCAGTAACAAACAGAAGGCCCTTATAATTACTTCATTTTCTCATAAAGCTCTTCACTGTATTTTGAATTACTTTATATTCAGTACACTCACCATGCTATCAGTATACTATTTTTGTATTTTTGTTTGTTAATTCTTTTGATGTTTTGATGTTAACATTTATTTATTTCAATAATTTTTTCCTCTTTTCTATGTTTTTCTTATATGTTTTTGAATGCTTTTTTTATATTATTATTATTATTATTATTATTATTATTATTATTATTATTATTATTGTTATTATTAGCTATAAATAAGAAGCGGGGGAGGAAACCTTCGCTGTGGAATATTCCCCCTAGAAAGATCCGTAGGAGCAGACCACTTGAGGTGTTCAAAACTAATCAAAATACGTTTGTATTTTTGAATTGGCATATAATTCAATGGTGTTGTTTGGTAGATCTTTTTTGAATTATAAAGAAATATGGTTGGAGTTTTGCGCCTTGTTCGATTGAACGAGACCACAAATGGATGAATAGCAGTGTCTATTAAAAAAAAAACTCTTTGTAAACATTTACATAACTTATGACATAAACTTGTACGTGATTCTATATTCAAGTATCCTGGTTAAAATCAAATTATGTTGAAAGCCCTAAATATAAAATTAAAATCACCTGTACGGCTACATTTGGCTGCTGAATGTTGAGCATCCCACCATCGGCAACCTCAACGCGACTGATTTGTTCTTCAAAAGCCTGGATAAATTTACCTATTGCCCCACTTTCTTCCTCAGCGGCTTCAAGTTCTTCTGTTTTTACCTGAGCTAGATTGCTCGCAATACTCGTTATAGACTCTGTTACCTGTCAAATTAAACACATAAGATGAAAGTTATTTAAACTATTGTAGGGGAAAGTTGCCAAATTTCGGAAATCAAATGGAATGACGATAGTGTATTAAATAAGGGATAGAGCAACGTCGATCTGGCGCTGGTCAGTGGCTGCCGGGCTCACGATCAATTGGGCAAAAATAATTTCCGTTTCGGTTTAATAAAATATGGAGTGGACTTTAAAAGATTATTATTATTATTATTATAACATGAAAGTCTTCACACACAAATGTTATTTTGAAGCTGTTACAAAATTTTTGGAAGGAGCAACCGCAAAGGGGTCAAAAAGATATGAAAGGACTGTGACAGACCTAAATCTGGCATAGAACCAATACAATAATTTGTTATTATTCAAAATTTCCAAACAGAGCCAGATAGAGGTTGGCTCTAGTAAATTCTTCATTCACAGTAGTTTAGCATCAAGGCTTCCAATAACCGGTTATGGGATTTACCTTTTTCACATCTATGACAATTTGATATACAATGTATGTAATGGAGGGAAGACTCTATTTTCCCCCATTAGATATTCATGGGAACATAATACAGTCACCATCCATTGCAACTTCATCTTCAATATGATTTGCTTTGCATCTTGCAGAATACCTCTTCACTTGTAAGATTCTTCTGCACAATGTGTGATGTTATCTCTGCCACAAACATGATGTCATCTGATGTGATATCTTCGATGTTGGAAGTAACAGATGATACTTGCTGGCTCACTTCACCTGCGTTTTCGTCACTTACGATTACCTAAAATTTGAGGAAAAAATATCTTACAGCATGTAAAATTTGAGTGATCGACTTTCCCTCCTTAAGGTAATACAACAGTCATTACGAACATGTTTCACTGATAATATTGCAATGCTACATGTTAGGTTCGTTTTTCCATAAACCATCTTTAATATTACAAAAAAAGGTATCCCATAGTATCAAATTTCACAACTCATGAATTGGTAGATAATTTCTGAACAAATTTGGCGGTTATAATCGCCTACGGGTGTTAAAGAATTTTAAACAGACTAACATCTTATAGATATAATCATTCGGTAGAGGTGTCGTGGTCGAGTGAAACCGGGGTTTGAGTCCTACCGCGGCACTAATGTCCTTTGGCGAGACATTAATGTACGTATGCCACACTCGACCCAGGTGAGGTAAATAGGTAACTGGTAACATTTTCCCTTAAAAATACATTGCGCGCTGATAACGGCTGCCGAAGCTAAAGCTAAGGTAATAATTTCCAAAGCTCTTTGTAAGCGCATAGGGACTTTATAATAATGTGATATGCGCTATACAAGAACTAAATATTATTATTATTATTATTAATATTCTGCCATTTCAACCTTTTTTCTTGTTTTTAATGCCTTATCAAGAGTTAAAGAATGAAGGTAAGTAGGTCTGTTGCAAGAGCTGTTATTTTAGTATTGTCAAATAATATGTTGCCGCCTTGACTAAATATCCTCCAATGCATTTGTGAATGGAATGACATTAAAACAATCAGTAGAATTGAAGGACCGAGGGCTATTCATTGCCTGTCAGCCATGATTTTATAGGTTACAAATGAAAAGTAGGGATACACTGTACAAAATTCAGATGATTAAGAAGGGAACATGAATGTGTATTTTGTAAAATTATACACAATACTGGGTAAAAATAATATATCAAATTTGTTAAAATCTACCCAATGATAGGACATTTTAAATTTATCATTTTTTAAAAATAGATTTATCAACAAATTGGCAAGTTGTAAATAACAGTGGTACCCCCAATATACGAAATACAATTGCGTTACATATAACATGAAGGTTCTAAAAAAGCCTCTTTTCAATGATCATATTTCAAGAAAAAAAATCAAAAAACCTGTGCAATTTCGGTGAGAATATCTGTGAAATTTCTAAATGGTCCGCAATTATCCAGTGGCTGCCACTGGCTCTGCGTAATACCGTCGCCGGTACACAGCGCTCGTCCAATGGGTTCATTAGCTGTTCGGTATAAAAAAAAATAACATTAACAAAACACTGGCAAACAATTATTACCGTATACGAAGAAAAGAGGAGACATAAATAAAGTAAAGAAGTACTGTCTACAATTGAAATTTTCCCAAGTAATTCATGCCTCCGGAACTATTCAACACATTCGACATCACGCGTGGATCTAGGATATTAATTTGGGTCGGAGGGCTTGGGGCTTTATATTGTAATGTATTGTTTTTATTTCCCGTCATTTGAAGAACATCAAAAAATATACATTTACAATCATAACGATACACTTATAAAAAGGAAGACGGAGGGATGGCCCTACTTGGGGTTTGGTGCTTGGGGTTCCTGCATTAATTTTCTTCGTGTGCCTCGCTTAAATTCAGTTTTATTCAAGAAACAGTTTGTGGGTTTGAATATAGGGAGGGGTTTTGAGCCTCCAAGCCCCCATCTTGATTCGCTAGTGTTCCCTAAGTACAAACAACTACATCGTTTAGACTTCACAATATCGAGGCTATTTTGGAAATAATGTTGGGAGTAAATGAGTCATTTTTAAGGCACCTTAAAAGGACGTGACGCGTAGCAGTCCACTATGTCGACGTGCAAATCTAAAAGTCCCTATTGTCTGTTTAGAAATGACGAAGCAAAACCGCGGCGGTTAGGCTTTTTTATGATGTCGTAAAATGTAATACGCTTTTTCTTTTCTATATCTTTTGACACAGGGACATAAGTGTATACGCCCAAAACATTTGCTGCGCGGTCTCCATACATTTACATATAACAACAAAACAAAAAGCGCGGCGCCCTTTTTTGCGGCGGTTTACTGCGACATATCGGAACAAAATTTAGGGAAATTATCGCATTAGTCGTGCTATTTAACGTATAGTCCCACGTCTATTTCCTCGAATTAAAATAAATGAAAGATATTGAAAACCAACCTTGAGAAGTGTTGAATGGACACATTGCTCTTGAATTTGCCCATGTTCCGTTTCCTCCCACCGGAAATTCGACTTTTTCAAATCGAGGAGAAATCCATGAGATATTCTGGCAAATAGCTTCACAAAAAGAAAGAATAACAAAACATATACAGAAAAAAGGCTTGGACAAAACTCCATTCTTTGTTTGTTTATGTACAATGAATTGATTGCTGAAAATTTTGGAGAGATTATTTTTCGCCAAGAGGTGCCCCACGCAAAAGGGATAATTGTGTTTTGTTGCAGAGGGCGCTACATGATTTTTTTTGGGGGTAAGATAACAAAATACTGAGTGTCAAATTCGAAAAAAAATATAATTTAAATTACAAAACTATTTTTTGGGGATCAAAATCGGTTCAGAGACGGCTGAAATAGCCATGAATGTAACCATTTCTAATATTTGTGGTGCCCCACAAATATTCGGTAATTTTGAACCAGCCGTTGGAAAACGAGATAGCGTCTTATACATTTTATTCCAGCCAATGCCAATGTTGGCTTTTTGTTTGCTTTTTGCTGTTGGTTATAATACGCACAACCGACCGGCCGGTGTATTGTTATTATTAATCAATTAGTTAACCTTCGGTCACCGTATTTCAATATTTAAATTTCACCATTAATTTTATTGGAACGTGGTCATTCAAAATTGAAGTTAAAACATTCTTTCTCCCCCACCTAATGTATCAAATCTTGAGGAAAAAAAAGCAGTGATTCAAACGTGTGAAATATTTTCCCCAAAATGATAATACATTGAATACGAATGCCACCGACCTATCACATCGGTTCCAGTCAGGAAATAAAACCTGAGACTCTTATAAGGTTTTTATTGATCACTGATCAATTTGTCCGTCATCTTATCCTTTCTTTATTGCTTTTTGTATGAACTATTTCAGTGCTGATTATGATTTGTTATTTTTTGTTTTTGGCAATGCATTACTTTTTTGTGTTCACTCTATCATTGTAAAATGATCGCATATCGGCTTTGGAGTGGACTATTAGGCTATTATTATTATCTAAACATCTATCTATTTCAGTCGAACCATGGTCAAACTGACTCCAAACCGACCCCATACCACCGATTTCATTGGCCTTTGGGGATAATCATGACGATCTAATGATTTATTCGGTCCCTATAGTCGGTCAAGTTCATTGATAGAATATAAATGATAATATAATAATATATCCATCGCAGACCAACGCCAGTACGACCGTGTTCACGTCTTACAAAGAGTTGATATCAATCGCGACTTCTTTGCGATTGATAGCAATCGCAACTATAAACATAAAACATAAGAGACTGCAACCTTGCGATTGATTGGTGGACTTGCGATTGGTTTGGATCAATCGTAACTCTTTGTAAGACGGGGCCCTGATCTATACAACATATAACTCCGTTTAGTCTCATTTGAGAACGCCCCCTGTCGGCAGAGCCCAGCAGCCTAACCCTTGGATAACGAAAGGTATACTAAAATCAATACAAACTAGAAATCGCATGTATAAAACATATATACGTAACAAAACTGATGTAAATTTAACAACTTATAAAAAATACCGTAATAAATTAACACAATTAATTCGAATAACCCGGAAGCTACGCTTTTGAAATAAATTAAAGAGGGCTAGTTGTAACACATATGCTACTTGGAACGTTATTAAAGAAATTATGGGAAAAAATAGACTCTTTACCAAAAGATGAGCTCACCTTAAATAATGTTATAGTTGAGGATTCTAGTAATTATTAACTTTTTATCAGATCGAATCCAACAATCACTTTGTTTAAGTCCAACAAACCCTAATGAAATTATTACCATTACTAAAGCCTTTAATACGCATGTCCAAAGCTCAAGGTTGTGATAGAATTAGTACATCACTTTTAAAACAAATAATACATGTTATTGCTAGTCCACTAACCCATATTATTAATCAGTCTTTATTGCAAGGTGTTTTTCCAGATTTACTTAAGATAGCGAAGGTAATTCCGACCTTTAAAAAAGATGATTCGCATGAAATGAGTAATTATCGTCCAATATCTATTCTTCCTAGTATATCTAAAGTTTTAGAGAAAATTGTGTATAATAGTTTAATCTATTTTTTAAATACTCACCAAATATTAAATCTAAATCAATAAGGTTTTAGGAAAAATCACTCCACTGACTTGGCCTTAGTACAAATGTATGATAAGATTACTAATGCCATAGCAAATAAAGAACACGTAATTGGTATTTTTTTTTAGATCTCAGAAAAGCGTTTGATACGCTCGATCATAATATTTTACTCCAAAAACTCTCTATTTATGGTATTCGGAGCCAAATCCTCTCATATCTTAAGGATTATTTAACAAATAGAAAACAATATGTTAATTTTAACTGTCTTAATTCGGATTTACTTTCCGTTAATTGTGGCGTTCCCCAAGGCTCCATTTTAGGCCCACTTTTATTTTTTTTTATACATAAATGATTTATCCAACACATCTTCTTTATTGTCATTTATTCTCTTTGCAGATGACACAAATATGTTTCGCTCTCATAAGAAATTAGAATCATTAGTGAATATTTTAAATTGTGAATTACGCAAAGTTTCGAAGTGGTTTAAGTGTAATAAGCTCTCATGAAACATAAGAAAAA